TTTGTCGTCGTTATTGGACATGTCTATTTTCTTTTTATTTTTCAAATTTGGACTGAAACATGTTCTCCAGTTTTATATAATTTTTAGATATAGTATTTTCCTAAATAGTTAAAACCGTTTATCAACACTTGTTGGAGTTTTACGACATCTTAGGGGTCTGGTTCAGGAAGTTTAAAATTCAGCTTCAAAATCTGATTTTTCGGCAATTTTCATGGCATCATTTACAAAATTTGTCAAAATTTTTCTCGGTTCTAATTTCTGTCAAAAACTTCTTTAATTCTATTTAAGCATCTAAAGCTACTTGCATATTCATATCGATGGACTGTTGACTTGTTTTCACAAAATTTACTTTTGTCAATTCTATATGCCATACATTTAGTGAACAAATAAATGGAAAAGTACATATATTTTTTTCTGCTAGACATTTAGCAGCAAAATAAAAGACTAATTCACCACAATACATACAACATTTTACATTTGCAGTGGACAAGCGTTTCGCTAACCATGTTAGCATCATCAGCAGATGACTAAAACTGACGCGTCCAGTGCAAAACTAAAGTGTTTTTTGGTGTATTGTGTAGTGTTTGATTTTGCTCTTGTAACACCAAAGGCTCTAGCCCCCAGCTATAATTAGTGTCATATTTTTCCTTCTGGGTACCTATTTTTTAGTTTCAGGGAGTAGAACTCCCGAGAGAAGTGGGCGTGGTAATCATAAAACTGGTAGTTTTCGTATTCTTGAAAAATATTGTGGGAGGGAGTAAGAAACTGGGGAGATGCTAGGGAGTTAAAAGTTCTCTTACTATAAAGCGAAGGAGAGAGCAAACCTAACCCAACTTACCGTATTTATTTACGATGTTTTTTGTTTACTCGGCTGTTACAGACTTAATAATTTATAGATAAAAATGTTTCTTTGAATGTGTGTAAAAAATGTTTTATACAGGGTGGATAGAAATTTAAACATGTCATTTTTAAAATTAGTAATGTGCATTTGTTTGAAAACCAAAATTAAGGTATAAAAAGAGAACATTTATCTTCTCTTAATAAAAAATCAATAAAGTCTTCTTATGTATAAATTACGGTTATAGTGGAATATATGGCTTTGAATATGAATAAAAACTCCAAAAAGTATATATATTTTTTGAACAATTTCAAATTTAGATATTAGTCGTTTTTGTTTGTACCCGCTGTATTAATGTCCTTAGTTTGAAAATAATACGTCTCTGAATAAAGTTTCTGTATTGACTAAAGTGCAAGACAAGCAAAAAAGCCCTTTTGTTGATCTTACGGGAGGCACAAAGACTTGGGACACAAACAAATCAACCTACATTTGCAATCGTTCGAAATTTTATGTTTTAAAGTAAATTATATCTCTAGACGCGATGTACGCAAGCCGAAGTCGCTGACCATAGAATAAGTAAGCCGCTGACTGTCAAGATTTGCTGTAATTCTATTGGTTGTACAAACCGGCAACGCTGTTCCCCGATTCTACTTCCTCCCTTATCCTTATACTCCTCGGTGCGTTCGGTACTTCAAGAATACAGTACGTCTGTCCGTTCTGTAGCTACGCGGTATCCGTGAGAGGGGAAACGATATTCTCTCGATGTGTTTCGTAAAAAATTAGACGACGCGTCCCATCAATAAAAATTCGACAAATTTGCAAGTGGCTAATAAAATGAGTGGGCGGAGCGATTTGCGGTGACGTACTCGTCAAGTCGACGTATAAAATATATTGCTGTTTATTTAAATGTTTTTGTCCGCATTCCTTTCATAGACACAGATCCAGCAGATGTACTGTACGACATTTCGTTTTCAGGGAGGTCGAGTGAGGGAGCATTCCCCGGGAGCTCCCAGGGACCACTCCCTTCTCTCGCTTTCAAGAATAGATACCCTGATCGAATGATGTAGGTACCATTTCATATCTCATACTATTAAACATAAATTTGGGATAAATTTATATATCAATTTTTGTTTTATTTTCATTTGGCTTGACTATTTGTTTTCGAATAATGATTTTAAGGTTAGATTTAGAATATATATTTTTTTAATAAATACCATCTTTTGGTAGAGGACGAAAAATATTTATATAATTCTTGCACAATGCTAAAAAAATCAGTCATGTAATAATTAAGGTTGGCAGCGTATTTTACTGCTAGCACACGGAAAGCGCGAGATTTAGATCCAGTAAATTTTTTTTAAAATCGTTTTCCTTATCGAGCATATTTTACCGTCCATTATCGAAACGTCTTTGTCCCCTTAAATTGTTTAGGCCCACATTATTTTTTCTAGTTTTTTCTACGATTCTAAATGAAGTTAAGCCAGCGCGCCACTTGTATATATAATCGTACAGAAGGCTAGAAAATGCCTATTTTAAACTTGTTAGTTTCTGTGTTAAAATCTTAGATAAGGAAAGAGAGGGGACAGGTAACACGGCAGCTGAAAGTGAGGCAAGTTGTCACCACGCGAAATTCTCCAATGGCGTAGCATCAGAAATTAGCTTGTACCTAGAGGGTACAAAATATTTATTAAAACGTAAACTAATATATTGTTCATTTTTGAGTAATGCATAAACAATTTTGTATTTTATAGTCTCACCTTTATAATATTAGAATATCTAAGTCGATAATGCAAAATTTATTTAACAGTCACAGTGGACTGATTATCAAGACAATTATTTATTTATTAACGTGTGTATAGTGTATAATTAAATAAAAAATAATGTAATAACATATTTTAAACGTGTATATACATATATACTGTATGATCGAAAAAAACGGCGTCTTGTTTGTTTGGAAATGACAATTTCACAAATGAATATTAAAAATTACATTATTCATTGAAAATTGAATCCGTAAGCAAGTGTGGAGAGAATTGGCTAGATTCATTATTATACCGTTTAATCGAAAAAAACGACGTCCAGTTGGCTTGTAAATTACGATCGATGACATTCCCCATATAATTCTACATATAAAATTACATAAAAACTATACAAAACGACATCGAAAAAAGACGGCGTCAGCGATGGCTATGAAATGAAGATCGCTTTCAGTTTATATGTAAAATTATATGGGGAATGTCGTCGATCGTCATTTACAAGCTAACTGGACGTCGTTTTTTTTTCGACCATACGGTATAATAATGAATCTAGCCATTACCCTTCACACTTGCGTACGGATTCAATGAATAATGTAATTTTTAATATTTGTTACCTTCAATCATAAGAATATCCTATTTTTAAGAATATCCAAATTTATTCACAAAAAAATAAAACAATTCTAGAAGCTTTGTGTTATTTTATTTATTTTTAAATGTTTATTAATTACTCACTGAAACTATTATTATACACTTAAATTAGCAAATTTTTTGAAAGAATATTTAAAAAAATATATGTATGTAGTAACAAGTAGCCCACCAACCGTGTTTGTCCACCCCCAACAAATCTTGGCAGGTAAATTTAAGTTTTATATAACTATACATATAGATTTTTTATCACTAGAATTTTTCATTTTTTTAAAATTTACAATTATTTTACATATTTGATAATAATACTTTATACATTTTTTTTACATGTAAAATATATAAAAAAATGTTTTTTGCAGAAATTGTATTTCTCTGATTATAATTCCCTACGCCACTGGTGAAATCCGGTCTGAGTAGCAATATTTATAGTTTCAAACATTAATTATAATACAGGATATTGAAAATATAGTTTGGTTTGGATGTGGTACAAGACATATTAAAAGCATTTTACATATTTTTACTGCTATAATAAAAAAAATGTACATTTTATGACCACATAACATCGATTTTTACCTGTGAAATGTAATTCCAGCCACTTTTTTCTCGCTTCGGCCTTTGCAGCCATACTCTGAACATCTCACCATACTAAACAACACAGTTTATGAATTTAAAACAAAACAGTTGTCACAAAAAACATAAAAATTCGCTCGGTGTCACCTCGAAATCTTGTCACCAAAGTATGGCCGCCGATCGAATTTTGGCCTCACTATCCGATCACGGGAGAATATGCGTGTTACCCGTCCCCTCTCTTTCCTTGCCTAAGGTTAAAATTGACAAATCTTATGATGTTGCAAATTTGCTCTAGGTAAATTTGAAAAATATTTATCAATTCGAAATATTTTCGAAATAAAAGTTTGAATTACTGAGTTTACTGAGTAAATTAATTATTTTGTTTTGGATTTTAGTAGTTAATTTTGGAATAAATGGCGCTGGCATTTCATGCGGCGCGGCGCCCATATTGCTTTGGAGCCTGTGTGCGCCGCACACTTCGCACACATGGGCGGCTCGGCCCTGGTACACTTATATAGTTATTACAGTTATTTTTTTTTTAATATTCTTAGTTCTGTTAGTCTTACTAATATTTTTATTAAAATCAAGCCTGTATCGTTACTTTTTAACGTTTTTTAAATTTTAATATAGAGTTCTAATCAGTATCGATATGACATTGCTACAGTACTCACCAAAGCTACCTCGTGTGATTAAAAAATAACATCGAAAGTAATAATAATTGAGAAAATTGACCAAAGCTTTTGTTGATATGAGTCAAAAAATAAAATGCTCAGGAGACATGGTTCTGATCGAAAAATAGCGTTTTAGGAAAAGTTACTCACGAAATTATTGCACAGGGTGTTTTAAAGTTAAGGTATCAAACAACCCTTCAATTCACCCTTTATAATAAGCCAAATACTAAAGTTTATAAAAAACAGACTTAATGAATTAAAGTTGAAAGATTTATACAATTTGCTAAAAATTTTATGAAAATACGGCCAAAAGCTAAAAAAATATAACACTTTAAACTCGACGAAAAAATTCGCGTGTAAGATTAATATAATCGAAATATGTAGGTTTTGAAATATATTTTGTATACATGGTAACTTACTGAAAACTTTCTATATTAGATTTACTATTTCATATTTTCATTCCATACTATTTTACAAAATTTTACTGTATGTTGAATGTTGTAGAGTGTACAAAAGGCATACCAACAGTTCTGCTGAAAGTGGGTTGAAAGTAAGACAATCCAAAGTGTAAGGCTCTTTGAATAAAGGTCTCGGATTAGCACGGTCTATCAGTTTTTCACTGTTTACATTCCATATTGTAATGCTGTTTTGTAAATCTCCCACTACCAATATAGATTCTTTCCATGGATGCCAAGCCGTTGTCTAAAAGAAAACCATATTATTTGATTAGTATTAATTACGTTATATACAGGGTTCGGCAATGGTGCGTCGGGCATCTGTAGCTCCTAAATAATAAAAAACTTAGAAATTTTGAATAAGTGCAAACCTAAAGTATGTATTAGGATGTATTTCAGGAAAATATTTTAACATCTACAGGGTGGCTCAAAAAAGTGTGTGTGGATCGGGATGATTTTTTTAAGGGGAACACTCTGTATATTATTGCATTTTTGGCTCCTTTCTAATCACTTTACGTAATTCTAAGAATTTATTAAATATGTTTTGATAGTTTCAGAGATATATTTTTTTTCAGCATTTTTTAAAAAATTATTAAAAATACAAGAAATGTCCTGAAATCAACACTATACTAGGTATATACTATAGTCTGTAATTTGGTTAGGTTAGGTTCAAAATTCTTATGTTCAAAATTCTATGCCAAACTTTCCAAATTTTAAAATAATTTTTCTTCGTTTTTTTTTTAAATAGAACTCCCTCTATAATCTTTTCCTATTAAATGGAGAATTAAATACATTTCTGGTATTTAAGGTATTTTAATTTTTTAGCGGTTTTGCAAATAATCATTTAGGTGGCTTTGACAAAAAATTATTATTGAAAAACCCATGTGGAATATAATATTATGAATATCCGCATGACCGTTAAAAATTTTGAAATACCTTAAATACAAAAAATAAGGAACAATATACAAGATGTTCCGTTAAAAATCATCTCGATCCACTCACACTTTATTGAGCCACCTTATAGAAGTTAAAATATTTTCCTGAATACATCCTAATACATACTTTTTACATACATTTATTATAGGAGCTACAGATGCCCAACGCACTACTTCCAGACCCTGTATAATACCTTAAAGACGTAATTCCACTCAAGCAACATTTAGACAAAATATAGCATGCAAATATTACGACCCAGGGAGCCGCTTTTGAAAAATACCTGCTATAGTCCGAAAGACGAACGAAAAAAAGTGATCCTTAAGCTACGTCCACATTGCTCGCGAGCAGGCCGAACGAACACGTGAAACACGAAAAACATGGAAAACAGTCGGAGCGAGATGTTCGTGGCGCTCGCGACGCTCCACGTGCTTGCGATCTCATAAAATGCCTGTTTCGACTGTTCGGCTCTATCGCGGTACATCAAAGATTCGGAGCCATGCGAGCATACTTTACGGCCGGCGGCGTATTTACGTTTCCGTGTTCATTTCAACACCGCGCGGTTTTGAAATCAGCACGGAATTGTTGCTCAATATTGCTTTACAAACCGGTGTTGATTTCAACATCTCGTCGGTAGTGAAATCAGCACGGAAACGTATCCCAAAGTTGGTTGACAAACCCGTGTTGATTTCAACATGCGATCTTCTAATTAAGCATGAAATTATAAAGTTTGTTTTTCAAAAATCACCAATGATTTTGAGGTTTTGAGTTTGAAGAAATCATGTTGTTAATCAGTTAGTTATACTTCTGAAGTTCAATGTTGGTTGTTCAATTTGTTGCCTGATTACACCAGTTTTACTATGATGAGAAATGTGTTGTTACATTATAAATGCCAGAGACAAAAACAAATTGGATAATGAAGAGACGTTTTTCTAAACCACTGCGTTACGAATTTCGAAAAGTTTACGTTTTTCAGCTAGCAGAGAGAAATAAATCGAAAAACAAAACTCAAGGGGAACAATGAGAAACTTCAATTACGAAGCAAACATAAGCATAAAATTTTGTGAAAAAGTGGCGAAACATACTTTAAAACATCATCTTTATTGAAAAGAGGTTTAAATGTCGCTCTACATATTAATTTTATTCATTCACACAGAGTCAATGTAGCTCAATCTCTAAGACTTTCGCGTTGCTCTGAAGATACAAAAGAACAATATATATCCTACTTTGACGCTGGAATGACAGCTGCAGCAGCTAAATCGTTTCATGAGTTTAGCATTATGGAAGATTGCGAGGAAGATGTGTATGTGACACCATAAAATAATAAATACAAGAAGTGTCAAGTCAATGTTAAATTATGGAAACAGCGTGGCTGCCTGGGTAACTAATTTTCAGATATGGCGGCTGGGACATTTGACATGACATAGACATGACAATTTCAATTTTATGAAATTTATTTCCGTTTCCGGTTTTTAATGGCGGGCTGTTCAGGAGGTTTAAATGAGGGTTAATATACTATTTACTCTTTCTAGTAGTAAATGATATAACAAAATTACTCAAAAATATTTATTTGGAATTTAGAACAATGTAAATATGCAAATCAACACAATTAAAGAGCTATAAACCAATAAACTACTGTATCAATATCAAATATTTAAATAATATCAGAGATGCTTTGTTAAAGTGGATTAGTAAAGTAACAGTGCATTGACTTACAGAAACTTGAAGATACATAAATGTTTTCACAGCTTCACGGGCATAAAACTAAATAACTGGAAGCAGGAAAAAGGCAACCGGAACCCACACAAAACCTGGAATCAAAAAAAAATATGTAAAAAACATAAATATAGGTACATAAGACTTTTGTGAATTAAATCAAACTTTTGAGGACTTGAATGAAAATAAAATGAATAAAAAATATGATACATATACATCTAATACCTCATTTGTATTTTAAAAATAATCTACATACATAGATTTATAGCATTATTGCTATGAAAATACATAATAGGTACCTATGTGATATGTAATTACGCATTTCTGTTCATCTTGTAGAAAATTAATGTAGGCTAATAATAGTTCAATAATCATAATTTATCTTGGATAACTTGCTTTCAATTGCTCAAAATCACCGATCAGTCTTTAAAGTAGAGATACGGAAAAATCCTTGGCAAAGAATATCCCAAGATCCTTGGGTTTAAAGCTAAAAAAATATAAAAACAGTTAATATATTACACATTTTTACATATAATATGGCCCATACCTACTACACGCAGAAACGTCGATTTCATCATTTTCTTCATGTAATTAATATCATATATATTTTATTAAAGTGTTAACAAGGAACTTTATATAAAAAAACATCTTTGTACTTATGAATTTCAGCCGAAATATCAGAAACAAACTTCCAATCAAATCTAAACGGCAAAAATTAAAATGGCACCCGACCTTGCCAGAGGCCTCGGGAGCTGACGCTGACAGACAGACAAAAGACAAAAGAACAGGACGCCGACGTGCATAAAAATGTTCCGTAGCAGAAATTGACAGAAATCATATAGAAATATTCAGATTTTTGTCTAGGACAGTCTAGAAGGCCATGCTTTCTGCCTGTGTAGAACCGCGCCACAACTGTTTCCAATTTTCCGGTTTACTGTCACCCCCCTGTGTGACACTAGCTAATGCCCAAAAAAAATTACTTGATCGTCAAGTAAGCCATTTATATGACTAGTGGCGACTCCAAAACTACGGCAGCAGTGACAGTGACACAGTATTGGATATTTTGAACAAAAAAGATAGACCTTCTGGTGTGCGGTATCAATTTATGTATAGTGGAAAATCTCATAGTTTTAGTTATTATTACCCCAATAATGCAACAAATTTACGAGGCGGGATTAGCTGATGAAATGTTATTTATCGATACAAGTGGATCGTGTGATCAAACTAATACTTGTGTGACATTTATATTTGTGTTGACATTTATATTTATTCGCTGACGCCGTTTTTTCTCATATTGGGCAGAGGCCAACAATATTTATTTGGAGTTGCATAAAAACACGATTTCGTCTTTTAGTCCTACATTTAATGGTTTATAGCAGGGTTGGAAAAAATCATGATTTTTTTAAAAAAATAAAAAAAATCAGATATTTTTGATTTAAATCAGATTTTTTTGATTTTAATAGAAAACATTTAAATCGGATTTCCAAATAATTAGGACTTATTTCCAATTAAAGTACTATCCTAAATTGCTAAATCTTCGTAATTCTGCCGATAACATTAACAATTCTACAGCGCGTGTCATATTTCCACATCGGTCACAAATATATTCCGCAAAAAAGTCGCTCGCTTAGATCAAAAGGCTTTTTTGTCAAACGTCACAAAAGTATTCATTTTTGTCATTTTAACGTCTAGGCATAAAAGTAAAACGCTTTTATACCCAAGCACAAAAGTACAAAAATATATTATTAAACTGATAAAAAGTGTAAAATTGAACGAGTGTACAAATTGTTGCTCGATATATAATTACTTACAAAGTACTACTTTTTATTATTACTACTACTATATTATTTTCAACATTTGAAATTGATTAAAATTATTTGTAATGTTTGATGTAGATTATTATTTACAATTATTTTTCGATTTATTAAAAGTACTTAAACATTACTATAGCAAGTGTAATATTTTATTTGATGATATAGGGTATACCTGTCTGTCATAGAAATATTTTTATAGTTTTCTAGGACACATTTTTATAACTTTTACAGTTATTTTTCGATTTATAACAAAGTTTTAAATAAGTTGATTTTTTTTATTTAAATCACATGATTAAAATAAAAAAATCACTTGATTTAAATCACGATTTAAATCATGCCAACCCTGGTTTATAGTCGGTAATATTATTTTAACAAAAATATTAACGTAAAAATTAAATACCTTACAAGATACTCCCGTACTAAGCAAGTATAAATATTTTTTTTTTCTAAATAAAATTCTTATCTTTTGCATTTTATGCCCATGATGTTTAGGGGTTTTGTTCATGTCTAAATATTGGTGCCTGACTCTATACCTATATCACCGCTGCGCTGTAGAAACGAGCGATCGCATTGTGATCCGATTCAATTCTCACGATTCTTTTTTACGGCTCATCGTTCAAATCTTATGGATCCGTGCTGGCCACAATTTTATCGAACGAACCGTATTGTAAGCAATGAATCAATATTCACGACTCTTTGAACAAACGATCGCATTGTGATCCAATCCAATTTTCACGATTCTTTTTTACGGCTCATCGTTCAAATCTTCTGGATCCGTGCCGGCCATGATTCAATTGAATGAACCATATTGCAAGCAGATTGCAAGCAAATTAAAAAAAAATCAAAACAGAATAGCCGATGCTTTAGAAAAAAACGTTAGACTCTATAAGCTTAATTTTAATGAAAATGTTCGTTTAAATAGGCTCCAATGAATATAATTAATTAATTAAATGACGATATTACTGATAAGTTTGCATCAATAAAGAACAGAAAAAATGAGCTGATTTACAAAAGGTAGTAAGGTTAGTAATATAAATAAGTCAAATTTATTTTGGTTGATATTGCTTAGTAAACATTAATGTAATAATAATTAATGTATAATAATTGAATAATAATTAATTGAATGGCTCCTCGGTTGTAACCAACAATTTTTTCAATATCGAAATTTCAGTGAAAAAAACGAGGAAAAAACGCTATACCTACCTATGAAAATTACAACCTTATTTCACTGAAATCTCTATTTTGAAAAAAAGTTTCGGTTACAACGTTTTTCGGGGAAGCCATTCAATAATTACAGTGTTCGCCGTAAAGTTGGATCCATATGGACGGTTTTTTTGGTATTAGAGTTTAAAAAACCTTTTGTGTCTATCAATTCTGCTTTAAAAACAACTTAAAATGCACCGAGTCATTTGTTGAAACATCAAGTCAAAGTTGAAACATAATTTTGTTACTCACTTTTTTTTAAATAATAATAATTTACCCAATTTTTAAAAATTTCTTTTAAATATTTTTGGCTTGGTGCATTTGAAGTTGTTTTCAAAGCAGAAGTGATTGCCACAAAAAGCTTTTTTAAAACTGTAATATAAAAAAAAACGTCCATATGGATCCAACTTTATGGTGGACACTATATAATGTTTATTATATTTAATTTAAATTTAATTATATTTTCACTGGAATGCAAAATAATGTGTTTATCGAAAACTGGTTGTATCTTTTTTTACTTAAACGCGTTTTAGCCCAAACTAAAACGAAAATATTATAGGTATTACTGTATAAATAATAACAAAAAAAATGTTGACAAAATGGTGAATGCAGCAAAAATTTTTTAAAATAATATTAAATATTAATAATATTTTAAAAAATGTTGACAAAACGGTGAATTCGCCAAAAAAAATTTCGCCCGCGGTGCAATTTAAAGAAAATTAACTCTTCACCGAATTTTTTTCCCACGATCCGCCACTGCTCAAATGAACGACTCGTTCAATCTTTGCCCACCTCTAGTCTACAATATACTTACTACTAGTAGTGGGAACTATCGAATGAATACTATCGAAACATTCGATAGTTGCAATTCATTCGAATAATTCGATAGCTAGTAAGAAAGCATTCGTCAAAAACTATTCGAATAAAAATTATCAAATAGATGCGTCATCTGCCTTGAAATATTGTATTCTAGTAATTCGGCAGCAAAAACCATTCATTTATAAAATTCATTCATTTATCAAAATTTATTCTTCAGGATCGATTTTAATAAAATATAAACTGGATTTTAATTGTCGTCCGGCGACGTAGGTCTAGAAACCCGACAGCGGTCGGTGGCAATGCTATGAAAGAAGCCGGCATCTTTGATTTTTTGCGGAGTCAGATAAAGATAAGGACACATTATTTTTTTTATTGAGGTGCTAGTATTTACACAGAAAATACATTATGAAGGGCGCTGTTGCCATATATTCGTATTAGTTGGTATTAGCAAAGAATATTATTCTTTGGCATTAGTTAGTTAGGGATAGTATGTCTATATATTTTACATTTTTTTATTAATATTCTGTGGTTACACTGCAATAATACTTTTTATTTTGGATGTAAAAAAATGGTTTTTAATGTTTTTAAGCAAAGACTGGTTTAATAAATAATAAGAACAGTAATAATTTGTTATACCTATTAACAACAAAATTTAAAATCATTTAATATAAACATTTTTTTAAGTAGTAGCAAAATATAAACAACAAATAGAAGTCAAAATTATTTATATTAGATCCTATTTAAAAATAATATAGTCTCTAAATGTGTGGCAACGTTGGTTTATTAAATAATAATAATTACAGAACTAATTTGTTATATTAACAACAAATTTTAAAATCATAAAATATAAACATTTATTAATTTTCTAAGCATGCAGTGTAATGGAAGGAAAATATGAATAAAAAATTAGAAATCAAAATTAGTTATATTACTTTATATTACTATTTAAAAATAATATTTACTTTTACTGGCATTTACTTTAAAAAATAAATGAAACATTTCTTCGCAAAAAACTACATGTATGAGAATTAGCATAAACAAAATACAAACATCGTTAACTCTTTTTTTAAATTGGCACGTGTAAAACTTCAATTTAATTTTCTCACCCCAAAATTTGAGTTCGATAACCATTTACTTAACCACATTACTTAAATATGATTATTAAGTTCAACTAATTCATATTATTAAAACATCTAAAATACAAATATGTATTTTTAAAATTAATTGTAAGTTCATGTCATCTCTCTTAAAAATTGCTACTTCTCAAAATTTCCCGTTAAAAAAATAGACCATAATATACCATATAAAATTAAATAATTGAAAGATCAGGCTACGGAAAATCACACAAATTTTCGGAAAAATTTATATACTATATATACTATTTTAGTATTTTAAATATTTTAATAAACGAATACTAAATTTCATTTATCAAAAGCATTCGATAGTCGTGGCTCAACGATAACCATTTAGTCGCACGGCGAGATTGTCACATATGCTTTAGTATACAAATGAATGAATGATTTTATTCGAATAAAATCATTCGATAGTTGAAATCATTCATTCAGTAACCATTCGATAGTCTAATTCATTCGATAGTTCCCATCGCTACTTACTATTACTTACTTTTATAAAACCCCGATTCTTATTAAATGTCAACCAGGGATCTTTTGCTTCTTCAACTGGCATTTTAAAAATGGCGCAAGTTCCTTTCATTCCTCTTAAAACCAAGTAGTTATCGTTACACGATAACTTTATGTCGATAATTTCGTCGCGCAAAATATTGGGACGACAGTACACCACCGTAGGACTATTTTTGCTGATTATCGAGATACAACCTCTCGAGCAACCCGCTATGACATTATCCTTTTCAGTCCAAGCTATACTCGTTATGTGGCATTCCATCGGACATTTACAAGGGTAACTTGCAACCAACTAAAATATCAAATTTCTAAATTAATAACAGCTTAAAATAATATTATTATTATAATTAACTCTACAATAAAACCAAACAAGATTCATAAAGTTCAAATACACATGATGTCAAAATATGTTTATTCTACAGGGTGTTTCAAAAAACATGTGCTATCTCTCATGGGAAAATTTCTCACGTAAAAATAAGATTTATTTTTCATATCAACATAGGTCCGATTCTGCTTTGTTTCCTAGCTACAGAGTGTTAAGTCTTAATAATATTTCCATTTATTATAATTTTCATACGGTGTAAGATTTAAAAATTTGAGATTACTTAATTTTAAATAGTCGAAATTTATAAATCAGACCTAATATCTCGCAGTCGGGCGAGCTTACCAAAAACACGTCCAGACTTTCGAGCTTTCTTTGATCGGCCGTTGAAAAATCGACAGGGGACGGATAGCAACGAGGCTCTGTGGTGAACATTGGTATTCATTACACTTATTTTTGCTTTATTTAGTATTCTTATTGCCATTAAAAACGTTCTAATAGTCTAAGAGCTGGCTACATAAAAAACCTTATCATCGTTACATGGCGAATTTTTTGTGTGAAGTATCCTTTTGTGTAGCCATTATGAAATAGTCATGTCTGCCAGCGCCATCCCGGGGCTTAAAGCGGAGGCGGCCAATCGAAAGGGTGAAATTTTGACACTAAAAATATTATAAGATACGTGAGTTATAATTGCGAAAATTGTTTTTATTTATTATTAAAAACGTGGAAAATTGTTGGCAGACATTTTTCTAGTCGCTAAAATGCCGACAGACAACGCGTAAGAGGCATGAAATTTTAAAAATTATTAAAAAATGAAATTTGAAGAATGAAAAAAATTATGGCATATTTGCATGCCGATTGGTGAAATGTCATTTAGGATTTTTTTTCTAAAAATATGTCGAGGTATTGACAAAGATCATCTTTTTTCAGTACCGACAGGCACTTTTTTTTCAGTCAAGATTAAATTATATTTTAAAGCTATATCACTGCCCAAGCTATATTACGCATATGAACCATCTGAAAATTTCTTAAGACCACCTTTAATTTAGCTAATTTGCCTCCAACTGAGAACTCTGCAAAACTCCATTTACTTAGGATATACTTTCAGGTGACTGTAAAGATATATCTATTATAGGTATTTTTTAGATTCAAGAATGAATTGGTAACAAGTTAGATCCTTTACAATATGGATGGAAGAAAGATCAGAATGGCAATCTGACACCTATTCAATCAACAGCAGATGTGGCGCCTCCTGACCTGCTAAAATTATTTTATTGCAATTGGAAAGAGAGTCAATGTTCTAAAAATTGCTCTTATAGAAAACTGGGTTTTGCATGTTTTTCAAAGTGTGGTCAGTGCTACGGAATCAGTTGCACAAACTTTTGTTTTATAGTTGAGGCTAAAATGATGCTCAGGATGGATTTTATTTAATAACTTTAATTTAATAATAATTTTTTTAACAATAATTTTATATAATAAATAATATTTAAAAGTTATTTTTAAGTGTTTGAATGCTTAAATTTATATTTGGTTTATTTATTTTAACACTATACTGTTAACGCAAAAATTATAGCGGATTGGTTAAAAAAACTGGAAAATGTATAAACCGTATAGTAAAAAATTACTCTATCTCCATTTCGCTATTTATTTTAGAAAAAAAATGATTGAAGGTAAAATATTCTAAATTTAAAACTTATATAAAGATATATTTTTCCCTACAAAAAATATATCTTTAGTTTTTTCGAAAAAAGTTATGCAAACGGAGATATTTGAAAAAAACAAAAAAATCCAAGATGGCGGCCATTTTTTTCAAACTTCCCCCACTGGGACCGAATGGGACTTTTGAGGAGTTAAATAGGAGATCATTATCTACATATTCCCGTTGAGATTGGTTGGTTACTAATTTTTTCCACCTTTACATATAATAATAAGGCTACGTTTACTGGCCTAGTACCCAAAATTGCTGCTTTAATACATTGGTTTATGATATTTTCTGGTAGCTTCAGCTCCTTTAAGTTCTTCTCAAAATCAATGTGAACCAGACCATTGCTTGAAATGATGCCTTATATCGAAAGCCAAGTCTTGATACTTCGAAATTTTTTCCCTTGCAGTTTTGACTACGTTGTGATCTAGGGGTACAGTTACGTCGATTAAGTGGGCTTTCTTTTCGTTTTTATCTATCCAAACAATGTCCGGCTTATTATGAACTACTGATCTGTCTGTGTGTATTTGCGTATTCCATTACACTTTATGATGTTCGTTTTCCTCTAATTCTTGTAGCCTGTATTCATAATATTTCTTTTCAGGGTTCTTGATTTTTAGGTACTTTAGCATTTCCAGGTCTATCTTTACTATGTTGTCGTGTCTTTCCGTGTAGTGGACTGACGCAAGACTCTCACATCCAGAGCTGATGTGTTGGATGGATTCGCTACTCTTATGACATACTCTACATTTGTCAGTTGGTATGTTTTGTTTTAAAATATGCCTCCTATACGCTCTAGTGCTAACGACTTGAGCTCGGTTTCTCCCATGAAGTTAATGTTTCTAAGGAATTGTATAGATCCACTTCTATCAATTCCTTCTGCCTGGCTTTCGTTGGCATACCTTCCATGCAGAGCCTTTCCTCGAAGTTCCCTCAGCTGTTCCTGAACCGATGGAACTTCCGTTGGGATATGGGAAGCCAGGTTCAAGGAAAAGTAGCCTCGGTCAATCTCGCATATTGCTCGATGAAGGTAAGTATCCCTTTGCATAAAATAGGTTGCTAGTTTGTTATTTTGCCTGTTGTATGGTCTTTCAAGTCCTCTCCTTCCATGGATCCTGGGGAGATACAACCTGATTTCTGAAGACGACTGATGGTCCAATCTGAACTGTGATAGTGTTCTCCTAGTAGCTCTGTCTATTTCCTGCAGCTCTGTTTTGGACCATCTCAAGACTCCGTATGTGTGCGCCAAGACAAGAATTGTCCATCTATTGACTGCTGCAATCTTCTGTCTGCCCGGTAAATATGTTTTACAAACTGTTTTCACTCTCTTTAGGTACGTATTTTTCATTCTGGTCTTCATTTCCTTATCCTTGATCTGCCCCCTTTGTAACATTCCAAGATATTTGTATGCAGATGTTTTTAATGTCTCTATCTTTGTACCATTCATTAGTGTAAATTTGTCGTGACTTATCAGCTTACCTTTTTTGTAGTGTACAGTAGCACATTTAGATAAGCCAAATTCCATATGGATTGATTTGCTGAAACGGGATACCAATTCCAACAGACTTTGAAGCTGCTCTGGGTTATTTGCATATACCTTAAGATCGTCCATGTACATGAGATGATTTAGTACTACTTTGTTTCGCTTGGTGATCTTGTAGCCTAGGTTGCTGTTTAAAAGTATCTTATTCAAGGGGTTTAAGGCCAAACAAAACCAGACCGGACTCAGGCTGTCGCCCTGGAATATACCTCGGTTGATCTTTATGGTTCTCGTTTCGTATGTTTGTTTCAGTCCAGCGACAATTAGTTTTGTATTCCATAGTGTCATAGCATGACTGAGAAACTCTGTAATTTTTGGATTAATCTTATAAATTTCCAAAACCTTTTTAAGCCAAGAATAAGGAACAAAGTCATACGCTTTATTATAGTCGATTCAGGCAGCTGATCTATGCCTCTGTTTATCTTGGACCTGCCGTCCTACTACATTGTCTATCACCAGAAGTTCTTGACAGCCTTTTGATCTTCGACGGCATCCATTCTGTTCGATAGCTATTATGTTATTGGTATCCAGATGCATTGTTATTTTGTTACATAATCTCTTTGTGAGGAGTTTATATAGTTTGGACAGGCAAGTAATAGGTCTGTATTATTTTGGGTCTTGAGTGTTTTCTGATTTTGGGATCATAATAGTCTGTCCCATACATATCTCTTTAGGAAGCTGTTCCGGATGGCCGATTAAACGTTGAAAATGTGCTGCTAAATGGCCGTGCAATGCCGAGAAATGTTTTAGCCAAAAGTTATGTAATTTATCTATCCCAGGTGTTTTCCAGTTTTGCGTTGTTGCTATAGCTTTTTGAACATCTTCTTTCCCTATCTTTATATCAACCATCTGTTCCAGTTCCTGGTTTCTATCTTCCTCCTCTGCTAACCAGTATTCGTCGGAATGGTTCACACATTATCCCCACATACTGTTCCAGAATCTGTACATGTCTTCTTTTGCTGGCAGTCCATTATTTGAAATTTTTGTTTCTTCATTGAGTCTCCTATAGAACTTTTTCTGGTGTTTTTCAAACAATCTCAAGTGCTCTTTACGTTTGTTAGATTCGTGATATCGTCTTATTTTTGCTCCCATGGTGGCTGCCTTTTGTTTTAAGCGGTCTAGGTACACTAGTGCTAAGGCTCTTCTGTCTGGGGCACGTGGTATATACATAAATATTTTTATCTAATTATTATTAAATATTATTACTAAGTTATTATTACTATTAGTCCAACCTACATAATTTCAAATAAAAAATTCACAGATTTTGCAACATGCGCAACCATCATAGGCGTATTGAAAATACCAGACACAAGTCGGCGGTTATCGGCAATCACCCGTTTTTTTTACAGTTTATACTAACTTGTGACGTCATTTGGAAGAGCTCAATAGAAATATAAAAGAACTAAACCTTGTTTGGAAAGCAATTTGACATTCGTGACGTCAGCACTCCGGCAGTCTATGGTGCGTCGAGATCTGACGAGCCGAGCGCGAGACGAGAGCAAGACAAGAGCGAGACAAGAGCGAGACGAGAGCGAGACATTTTCTATCCATTTTTTACGCAAACCTGTCACGAGACAAGCCGAGTGAAAGGAAGCCAAACACATATTAAATTGCAATTGAATATAACAAACGATGGCCAGAGAAATAATAACGTGACGAGAAACGAGAAATAATAACGCATACAGTAATAAATTTTTGTATCTTTAATATGGTATTCGATCTTTAACATGGTATTCATCGTCGGTTTTCCCTCTTTTGGCTGTTTTCCCCTTTATCCCTTACACGATTATCTTCCTTTATCTTTTTACATAATACGTTTTTTAACGTTTTAGAACAAAATATTAAATAGAAAAGTTATTGGTAAGCTTAAGAAGCATAAGTGGTGCGGATATAACATATTTTCTAATGGGAATATCCTATTTTTTATTTTATTATTGGGTTATACATACGTACAATTCGGTAACTTTTTTTGCATTTTTTTGATATTATATATCTAAAATTAATAGATGTTGTAATAATTCAATTTGTTTAAAGAAATGTTGGATTTCGGTAGGGTAAAAATTATCAGTGACGCAAAATTTGTAAATTCTATCTATATAGTATATTCTATCTATATAGTATATTCTATCTATATAGTATATTCTATCTATATAGTATATTCTATCTATATAGTATATTCTATCTATATAGTATATATATTCTTTTTTCAAATTAAATAGTCGAAATTTATAAATCAGAGCTAATATCTCGCAGTCGGGCGAGCCTACCAAAAACACGTCCAGACTTTCGAGCTTTCTTTGATCGGCCGTTGAAAAATCGACAGGAGACGGATAGCAACGAGGCTCTGTGGTGAACATTGGTATTCATTACACTTATTTTTGCTTTATTTAGTATTCTTATTGTCATTAAAAACGTTCTAATAGTCCAAGAGCTGGTTACATAAAAAACCTTATCATCGTTAAATGGCTAATTTTTTGTGTGAAGTATCCTTTTGTGTAGCCATTATGAAATAGTCATGTCTGCCAGCGCGATCCCGGGGCTTAAAGCGGGGGCGGCCAATCGAAAGGGTGAAATTTTGACACTAAAAATATTATAAGATACATAATTGCGAAAATTGCTTTTATTTATTATTAAAAACGTGGAAAATTGTTGGCAGACATTTTTCTAGTCGCTAAAATGCCAACAGACAACGCGAAAGAGGCATGAAATTTTAAAAATTATTAAAAAATGAAATTTGAAGAATGAAAAAAATTATGGCATATTTGCATGCCGATTGGTGAAATGTCATATTTATTTATTTTAAAAGCCGTATGCAAAAGGGCAGACAAAAAGATCGTGGCTCAATCAGCTGCAGACAGTTATCAAAAGCGCGATATTACTCTAGCGCTTTATTCAGGGAACGCTGGCCGCCTCATCCATTTAAGTATATATAAATCATATAATATACGATTATATTATAAATATATTTTTTTATTATTTCAATAACGATTTTTTTGCCTGCCCTTTTGCATTGCTTTATAAATTAATTAACAATAAACATGACATTCACAACACGACATTATGCATGTCGATGATTTTGTATGCGATGATTTTCTTCTGTCAAAATTCTATGCCTCTTTCGCGTTGTTTGCCGGCATTTCAGCCACGAGAAAAATGTCTGTCGTGTGTGTGATGTGTTAATATAATGGAAAATAAATTTCTTGCAGTTTTTGGTATATAATAAGATTATATAAGAGTTTCTTGCCTTGAACTGCTAATATAGAAATTAATTCCACGCTGTGTTCGACATAATGTGGATCAACCTGCTCTCACTACCGGTTTCGGGGCCCTACCCCATCATCAGGTGAGCTTGGGTCGTTTCCACAATATGTCGAGCACAACGCAGAGTATATAAACACGACTTGTCGTAAAGTAGCGGTAAGATATTAAGTCCCGCATCGCGAGATAGCGGCCTGCGTGCAATGGTAGTACTTTCGTACCACCGAGGCACAACTATCGATAGTAACGGAGTAACGGAAACGACCCAAGCTCACCTGATAATGGGGTAGGGCCCCGAAACCGGTAGTGAGAGCATCAGGTTGATCCACATTATGTCGAACACAGCGTGGAATTAATTTCTATATTAGCAGTTCAAGGCAAGAAACTCTTATATAATTTTATTATATACCTAAAAACTGCAAGAAATTTATTTTCCATTATATAATTTGGGCTAGCCGAAAAAAGCCTTTATTTACTATCGATAGTTGTGCCTAACAAAATATATAGATAACAAAAAGCAAAAATATCATCCAATATCTGACGATTTATACCTACTTTTAAAGTTTCGCCATCCATGATACTGAGCCCGGATATGGTTCTGGATACGGCAAACTTGGTGCCCGATCGATTCCATTTTACGCATTCCAGAATAGTACCGCCAGTATCGGTTTTGGTCGGCTGATTATCCAGTGAAGGCCAAAGGTGTACTTCTTCGTGAAAAATCGTAGCCAGTCGGCCATGTTTACCCCAGTCTATTACGTGATGGTCTGAAACGAAAATGTCAAGGAATTGTTGATGTTAAATAATAATTTGGCGTTGTCTTTATTTTTAGTACTGCAAGCGAATATACATAATGGTGCGTTTAGACTTGAGCACGCACGAGCTGAACGTGCGCGCACGGCATTCGTTCGCGCTCTCGGCTTCGTTCAAATTAAAAACTTATTTTTCGACGAATGAAGTGATCCATTTGTGCGCGCACAGCAGAGTCACAGCAGAGTTGTGTTGGCGAAAATAATGAACGACCAAGAAATAGTCGAGGCTGCAGTCATTGTTTTGCACAGCTTAATTATTAAAAAGAACAAAAATCGAAAACATCGTCGCTGGTGGCAAACCCAAATTTTTAGAAATCGATATAATTTACTGCAACAACTTAGTGTCTGAGGAGGGCTATGATCAGTTCAAAAACTTTACAAGAATAACCAGGCCCGACTTTGAATATTTACAAAATTTAATAACACCAAAAATTACGAACAAAAGTTGCAAATTTTAGAATAGCAATTTCATTAATATCGACATATTCAATATTAATTTTATTTACAAGGTTTTGCCATGCGTTATATTTTTTTTTTTTTGATTTTTTAATAATAGAAAGATTGTTTAACATCCCATAATATAGGCAACTTTTCAATTTTTCAATTAATAATAACGAAGATTCATTGATCCACTCCATAATTTTAATAAAGAGAACGAAAAAAAAAAATACACACGCACGCACGAACGAACGCAGACAACACAAATTGCCGGTCCAAATTGAGCGTTCGCGCACACATAAAATCCCTTTGAGCACGAACCAAAAACCGACACCAGACGGCTCACGTTCGCGGCTGCTCGCGCACAGGCAGATTCAGAGTGAGCCATTATGGTGCGTTTAGACTTGAGCACGCACGCACTGATCCTCCGCGATTGCTCAGGTGTAAACGGCGTGCGCGCACGCTCACTCTGAATCTGTCTGTGCGCGAGCAGCCGCGAACGTGAGCCGTCTGGTGTCGATTTTTGGTCCGTGCTCAAAGGAATTTTATGTGTGCGCGAACGCTCAGTTTGCACCGGCAATATGTTTTGTCTACGTTTAGCGTGCGTGTGTGATTTTTTTTCGTTTTCTTTATTAAAATTATAGAGTGGATCATCAATTATCAATTATGGGATGAATCTTCGTTATTATTAATTGAAGAATATGAAAAGTTGCCTATATTATGGGATGTTAAACATTCTTTGTATTATTAAAAAATAAAAAAAACGCATGGCAAGACCTTGTAAATAAAATTAATATTGAATATGTCGATATTAATGAAATTGCTATTCTAAAATTTATATCTTTTGTTCGTAATTTTTGGTGTTATTAAATTTTGTAAATATTCAAAGTCGGGCCTGGTCATTCTTGTAAAGTTTTTGAACTGATCATAAAATCTCCCTCCTCAGACACTAAGTTGTTGCAGTAAATTATATCGATTTCTAAAAATTTGGGTTTGCCACCAGCGACGATGTTTTCGATTTTTGTTCTTTTTAATAATTAAGCTGTGCAAAACAATGACTGCAGCCTCGACTATTTCTTGGTCGTTCATTATTTTCGCCAACACAACTCTGCTGTGACTCTGCTGTGCGCGCACAAATGGATCACTTCATTCGTCGAAAAATAAGTTTTTAATTTGAACAGAGCCGAGAGCGCGAACGAATGCCGTGCGCGCACGCTCAGCTCGTGCGTGCTCAAGTCTAAACGCACCATAATAATAGCATAATATACAGGGTGGTCCGAACTGTATTCAGGAAACTTCGTCAGCATATTCTGCAGATAAAAATTGGTTAAAATGCTTAGTTTCAGAGATACAGGGTGTACAAGTTTTATATTTGTTTCGATTTTTTCTAAATCATGTCATTATGAAGTAAAGTCAATACTTGGATGAAAATTGGTGTCTTAGAGTTTTTTGATATGAGAAATTTTATTTTGAAGTCAATATAACTTCTACTTGTAGAGGGCGCCACGGGGCGCCACCTACATATTTTTTAACTGGTTTGAAGGGTAATAACTTTTCGTCCGTACGTGTATAAAACTAGTAAATAAAAAAATATAAATTTACGACGTTTTCTGCGTAAAAAAGGTCTCTTAAAACACACTCTGAAACATGTTGACTAAACAGTTATTAGACTGAAATCATAAAGAAATGTTTTTGTTGTGCCAAAAGTTCAACAGAAACTGTTTTATTATACAGGGTCGTCCGAACTGTATTCCGGAAACTTCGGCAACATATTCTGTAGATAAAAATAAGTAAAAAAGTTCGTATATATGTATATGTATGTCCTCAATTACTTAGTTTCGGAGATACAGGGTGTAGAACTTTCATTTTTATTTCGATTTTTTCTAAATAATTTCTGAAGTAACGTCAATATTTGGATGAAAATTGGTGTCTGGGAATTTTGTGACACGAGCAATTTGATTTTGATGTCAAAATGACTCCTATTTGTAGGCACCACCTACATGCGTTTTGGCTGTTTTGAAGAGTAATAACTTTTCGTCCCTACCTGTATAAAACTACTGACTAAAAAAATATACATTTTCATGACTTTTTACGTAAAAAATGTCTCTTGGTAGAAATTGCTACGAGCAACCGTTCTCAAGATATTTAAAATGAAAATAGTCAATACATGTCATTATTGACAAAAAATAAGCACGTTGAATAGAGTTATCTGACTGAAATAATAAATTTTTATTTTTTAAATTAATCATAATTTTTTTGGCAAAAAAATTATGATTAAACAGTTATTGTTGAACTTTTGGCACAAGAATATTTCAAATTTAAGATTTCAGTCTAATATCTATGTCACCATGTTTAATTTGTCAGTGATGACAGGTATTGATAATTTCAATTTCAAATATCTCGAGAACCATTTCTCGTAGCGATTTTTACCAAGAGACTTTTTTATGTAAAAAATGTTGTAAATGTATATATATTTTACTCAGTAGTTTTATATAGGTATGGACGAAAAGTTATTACTCTTCAAACCAGTTAAAGCATATGTAGGTAGCGCCCTCTACATGTAGGACTCATATTGACATGAAAATCAAATTTCTCATGTCAAAAAACTCCCAGACACCAATTTTCATCTACATATTGACGTTACTTCTTAAATTATTTGAAAAAAATCGAAATAAAAATGAAACTTCTACACCCTGTATCTCCGAAACTAAGCATTTTAAGACATACATTTATACGAACTTTTTTACTTATTACAATCTGCAGAATACGCTGCCGAAGTTTCCGGAATACAGTTCGGACCACCCTGTATCATTTTTTCGCAGAAAAAATTATGATTAACTTAAAAAAAATAAAAAATTTACAAATTGATTATTTCAGTCAAATAACTATCTACTCAACGTGTTTATTTCTTGTCAATAATGACATGTATTGACTATTTCCATTTTAAATATATTGAGAACGGTTGCTCGTAGCGATTTCTACCAAGAGATATTTTTTCCGTAGAAAGTCACGGAAATGTATATTTTTTCCCTCAGTAGTTTTATACAGGTACGGACGAAAAGTTATTACTCTTGAAAACAGTTAAAACATATATATGTGGCGCCCTCTACAAATAAGAGTCATATTGACATCAAATTCAAATTTTTCATGTCAAAAAATACGTGGAACGGTGCGGTGGAACAAATGAAGAAGATAATAGGTCATATACAGCACGAGGCCAGTACTGCTGCGCAGGACAGAACTAGTGTTGCACAAGAGTCTTGAAAAAGTCTTGCAAGACCAAGACTCTCGCAAGAAATTCAAGACAAGACTTTCAAAATTTCTTGTCTTGAATTTCAGAGACAAGACAAGACTTTAATATGCAAGAAATTTCAAGAGTCTTGCAAGATTTCTTGAATTCAAGATTTCTTGAAAGTTAGAAATGATACATTTTTTTAAGTGATAATTAGGTCTTTGCGCAAGTTATGCCGGGTTTATACGACATTTATATACTCGTAATCACAATCATAGTCATAATCAGAGAAGTTAAACTATCCACTTCTTATAAACCTGTTGTCATCTACCATGAACTTAGCCTTTAATTATGTTACCCAACTTTACTGATATAAAAATTATGATTATGAAAATGTTCTGTAAACGCACATTAAAATTGCGTTGTGATTATGATGATTATACAACTCTATGTATATTTTTCCTATATAGAAGGATGTGATTAATGTGATAATCATTTAAGTGATTATAGCTTGGTGGCCATATTGTAATTGGCATTTTTTGAAACATTAATTCAGAAGTCATTTCTGTCAGTTCCACAAAATATCTCGTCAATTTTTATTACAAAATGGCAAAAGAAAGTTAAGATAAGAAGGATATATGTACTTTATTTCGTTGTATAATCTTTTGAATACAACTAGATGTTTCGGGATTACCTAATACTTTTGCCTGACACTCACAGCGCTTTCAGATGGAGCGGACCGTCCGCGACGGACCGTCCGCGTCCGTCGTGTTCTTTCAAGATAGCCGTCGGACGGAGCATATGCGCCCATGTGAAATATTGTTACGAATGTTCGTATAAACTCATGGTACTTTGTACTTGTACTGTCAATGCGATACCGGCAACACTACTCCTTCTTCGGAGTCGTATTTACGAGTCGGGTAACGCATTTCGTGTCAGGTGAAAGTACCATTCGGTAATCCCGAAACATCTTGTGGTATTACATTCGATAATTAAGACTGTGATTATGATTACGACTTATGGAATTGTTGTATAAACCCGGCATTAATATTGACCAGTGTTCATTTTTTTTTCTATCATAGCCAGTGATTTAGAGTTGAGAATTAAATAAAATAAAGTCGAGGCAACAAACCGTATATTGGTAATTGGTATTATACACAAAATTATATCGGTGTAAGCAGGGCCGGCGGAAGGGCCGGGCGACCCGGGCAGAGGCCCGGGGCGCCGGATGCGAGGGGCGCCACGACAACGACTAAAATATTTAAAAACAGTAACTTAAACAAATAGTAACGAATAACCAGATCAATAATTAATCGGTACTATCAATTTCCACGTTAAAACATCAGCAAATACCACACCATATAGGTAAAAATAGCTGACTAATTATTATAAACACTACTATATCCTAGGCCTATCCTATTACAGTTTATTGAAATTATGCTAAAAAAATTCTTAGCACCAAAGTTTTGGGATAGTTTTGATTTCTCCTATTTTATATGTTTTTTTAGGTGCTCTATTCGAAACTGGAATTTGCGAATTAATTTTCGTGGAAGAATCTTAAAAAAATAGAATAAAAAATTATAAATCTGATTTGTTCGTGGTATTTTACTTATAACTCAAATGTTATCAACTTTTTGTAAATAATTGTTTTTATAAATTTTCTCTAAACAAACTGTTTTGGGTCAAGAGCTAACAAAATTGGCAATTTTAGACTGACCGCTCAAAATCGCACTTTTTCTACTACCGCTACCCTTTATTTGTTATTAATGGCTCTGATAAATATGTCCTAAAATTATACGAGGCAAATATTTATTCCCAAGAAGCTGAAGAGGGTCCCGATATCCTTATTATCAAAAAAAATTATAAGTTTGCCTCATTAATTAAATTAATTTATTAACAGTACTTAGTGGGAAAATATATCAATCTTTTGGTGGTTTTGATTGTTCTGGATTGAATATGTAGTAATACACAGAAAATGGTAGCAGAATCGTAGAATTTTCTCATGAGAACAAAACAAGACAAAGAAATGCATCGCAAACACTGACTGATCTTCATTTTGAAGCCGACAAAACTATATCTGATCATATACTGATTCTGCACGAAATAATTGATTGTGAAAAAGAAAAGAAAATTTTCTTAAATTCTTATACAAAATAAAGCAACTGCTTGCAATTAAATACTAATGTTTTCAAAGATCATTTATACCAGAACGACAGTGTCGAAGTTGGAATTCTATTCTTATAGCTCTATATACCGGGTGGGTTTTAAAAGTGGTAAAATTTTAGTATTGAAGGAAAGAGAAAGTTATAAAAACGAGATTTGGTATATTAGTACCGTATGATCGAATAAAAACGGCGTCAGGGATGGCTATGAAATGAAGATCGCTGTCATTTTAGATGTAAAATTATATGAGAAATGTCATCGATCGTCATTTCCAAGCCAACTGGACGCCATTTTTTTTCGATCATACGGTATTTTTAGTATATCATACGACATAAATTAGGATTAACTGACGTAGTCACTTGTTTTTGGTCACTTTCTCAACTTGGTCAACTTTTAATTTTTAAATGGCACCCGCGATAGAAAATGACACACTGAATAGAATTACTTATCATATATGTAAATATTTGACATTTTCGCATATGGTTTATTCGAAATTGTAACATGCAGTACATAACGACAATTTGACCTCGAAATACCAAGTGTGTGGTACCATATTATTCATAAAAATGCTTTTCCAAATATGCTAATGAGCAACTTTGTTCTATTTGAAAAATGAGATATATGATTAAAAATGATTTAGTAATCTTTCAACCGGCCAGGACAAAACACGAAAAACATAGGACGATCAATATAAATTTACGACGTTTTCTGCGTAAAAAAGGTCTCTTAAAACACACTCTGAAACATGTTGACTAAACAGTTATTAGACTGAAATCATAAAGAAATGTTTTTTTTGTGCCAAAAGTTCAACAGAAACTGTTTTATTATACAGGGTGGTCCGAACTGTATTCCGGAAACTTCGGCAACATATTCTGCAGATAAAAATAAGTAAAAAAGTTTGTATAAATGTATCTCCTCAATTACTTAGTTTCGGAGATACAGGGTGTAGAACTTTCATTTTTATTTCGATTTTTTCTAAATAATTTCTGAAGTAACGTCAATATTTGGATGAAAATTGGTTCTGGAAGTTTTGTGACACGAGCAATTTGATTTTGATGTCAAAATGACTCCTATTTGTAGGGGGCACCACACCTACATGCGTTTTGGCTGTTTTGAAGAGTAATAACTTTTCGTCCGTACCTGTATAAAACTACTGACTAAAAAAATATACATTTCCATGACTTTTTACGTAAAAAATGTCTCTTGGTAGAAATCGCTACGAGCAACCGTTCTCAAGATATTTAAAATGAAAATAGTCAATACATGTCATTAATGACAAAAAATAAGCACACGTTGAATAGAGTTATCTGACTGAAATAATAAATTTTTATTTTTTAAATTATTCATATTTTTTTTTGGCAAAAAAATTATGATTAAACAGTTATTGTTGAACTTTTGGCACAAAAATATTTCAAATTTAAGATTTCAGTCTAATATCTATGTCACCATGTTTAATTTGTCAGTGATGACAGGTATTGATAATTTCAATTTCAAATATCTCGAGAACCATTACTCGTAGCGCTTTTTACCAACACACCTTTTTTATGTAGAAAATATTATAAATGTATATTTTCTTACACAGTAGTTTTATACAGGTACGGACGAAAAGTTATTACTCTTCAAACCAGTTAAAGCATATGTAGGTGGCGCCCTCTACAAGTAGGAGTCATATTGACATGAAAATCAAATTTCTCATGTCAAAAAACTCCCAGACACCAATTTTCATCCACATATTGACGTTACTTCTTAAATTATTTGAAAAAAATCGAAATAAAAATGAAACTTCTACACCCTGTATCTCCGAAACTAAGCATTTTAAGCACATACATTTATACGAACTTTACTTATTGTCAATCTGCAGTATATGCTGCCGAAGTTTCCGGAATACAGTTCGGACCACCCTGTATCATTTTTTCGCAGAAAAAATTATGATTAATTTAAAAAAATAAACAATTTACAAATTTATTATTTCAGTCAAATAACTATCTACTCAACGTGTTTATTTTTTGTCAATAATGACATGTATTGACTATTTCCATTTTAAATATCTTGAGAACGGTTGCTCGTAGCGATTTCTACCAAGAGACATGTCACGGAAATGTATATTTTTTCCCTCAGTACTTTTATACAGGTACGGACGAAAAGTTATTACTCTTGAAAACAGTTAAAACATATATATGTGGCGCCCTCTACAAATAAGAGTCATATTGACATCAAATTCAAATTTTTCATGTCAAAAAATACGTGGAACAGTGCGGTGGAACAAATGAAGAAGATAATAGGTCATAGACAGCACGAGGCCAGTACTGCTGCGCAGGACAGAACTAGTGTTGCACAAGAGTATTGAAAAAGTCTTGCAAGACCAAGACTCTTGCAAGAAATTCAAGACAAGACTTTCAAAATTTCTTGTTTTGAATTTCAAGACAAGACAAGACTTTAATATGCAAGAAATTTCAAGAGTCTTGCAAGATTTCTTGAATTCAAGATTTCTTGAAAGTTAGAAATGATACATTTTTTTAAGTGATAATTAGGTCTTTGCGCAAGTAATGCCGGGTTTATACGACATTTACATACTCGTAATCACAATCATAGTCATAATCAGAGAAGTTAAACTATCCACTTCTTATAAACCTGTTGTCATCTACCATGAACTTAGCCTTTAATTATGTTACCCAACTTCACTGATATAAAAATTATTATATTATTAGTCGGGTAACGCATTTCGTGTCAGGTAAAAGTATCATTCGGTAATCCCGAAACATCTTGTGGTATTACATTCGATAATTAAGACTGTGATTATGATTACTATTGACTTATGCAATTGTTGTATAAACCCGGCATTAATATTGACCAGTGTTCATTTTTTTTCTATCATAGCCAGTGATTTAAGGTCGATTTATAAACTGAAAACGTTGCGGTTCGACGCCCGACGTTACGGTCGGTAAAAAGTGTGTTTATACGCAGGATGTTTTGTTGATTATAAATTTTTCGGTTGTTGTTGCGGTTGACGTTTTACGTCAAAAATTAACCAATTTTTAACTTCGACAGGAACGTTGACCTTGAAACGTTAGTAATAGCCAATAGAAATAATCGCAACCGCAACGTCGAACCGCACCGTTTTCAATTTATAAATCGACCTTTAGAGTTGAGAATTAAATAAAATAAAGTCGAGGCAACAAACCGTATATTGGTAATTGGTATTATACACAAAATTATATCGGTATAATGGTATTATAAAAAAACTGTAATAAAGAACGTGAACCTTTTCAAGACAAGAAATTTCAAGAGTCTTGCAAGGCAAGACAAGACTGCCATTCAAGAAATCTGCAAGACAAGACTTTGGAAATTTCTTGTCTTGAATTTCAAGACAAGACAAGAAATTGAGATTTTCAAGACAAGAATTCTTGTCTTGTGCAACACTAGACAGAACAACATGGAGAGACACAATAAATGCGATATCATAATGCCAAATTACTCTTATAGAGTAATTTGGTATTATGGAGGGGGAGGAGGAGTTTACTTACATATTGTTGTACTGATATCAGGCATATCTAAAATAGTAACTGGTCTTTCTATTAAAGGTTTTTTTCTCGCTACTACAGGCCATGTGTCTCTTTCTGGAATAATCTTGTGACTTTTCTTTTTACTTGAATGAGGAGTCTCGAACAGCGCATGTTGTAATCTTAAAATGATACATACTTATGTTTAATTTCATCTATAATATAAATATGTCAGGGATGTAGGTAGCAAGCAGTAAAATCCAAAAAATATTAATTTTTAATTATGATTATTGTTAGTTCCCAGTAATAATTAGTACGCAGAGATTAGTACGATATTTTTCTTTCTGCGTATTAATTTTTAATGCCTTTTTACTGAACAAGCATAACGCTGTTAAGAACTTTATTTTTTACTGAATTAATATAATACAGGGTTCGGCAATAGTGCGTCGGGCATCTGTAGTTCTTAGAATAAACAACTTTTTTAAATTTTGTTTAAGTGCAAACCTAAAGTATGCACGAGGACCGTATTTCGGGAAAATATTTTAAGTTCTACAAGGTGGCTCAATAAAGTGTGAGTGGATCAGGATCAGAGGTGCAATTAGAGGGGGGGCTTAGCCCCCCCAGACTCAAAATTAGCCCTCCCAGGCGTACGTTTGACATTTCAGACGAAGCACAAAAAGTCATTTTTATTTCAAATTAATAGAATAGGAAATTTTTTTTCTGACGGCAGGAATAATTTTTTAAACAATTTTAAATGTTGCCAAATAATATAAAAAGATTTAAAAGTAGTGCATTGTAGGTAATTATATATAGAGAAACTATGGTTACACTCGTTGAATTTGACACTTTTATGTCAATATAATAATATATTTTCGTACTATTCTGCTAGGCATAAAAGTGCTTTAATTTTTGCCTAGTCTTTTTTTCTTTTTTATATCACGTCGCAAAAATTAATACTATTGTAACGTTTGAAAAAAAAATACAAAAATATTCTTAGTTTAAGATAGTGTATTGTACAACGAGATATTAATAAATAAATAAAAAATATATATTTTTCAGCCTTTCTTAAACAAATTATTAAAAATACAAAAACTCTCCTGAAATCAAAACTATGTCAGGTATTTACTTCAGATAGTCTATACTTTTTATTTTTAACTGTATGGTCTATACTTACTTTGCTATAATATGTCGTAATCTCAAATTATACAGGGTGTTTAAAATTCTACGCTAAACTTTCTAAAATAAAAAATAATTTTTCTTCCTTTTTTTAAATGGAACACCCTGTATGTTATTTTTTATTACATGGAGAGTTAAAAAATTAACATATTTTGTATTTAAAATATTTAAAAATATTAATGATTTCACAGATTCTTGTATTTTTAATATTTTTTTTTAAGAAAGGCTGAAAATATATATGTTTTATTTATTTATTAATATCTCTGAAACTATCGAAGTATATTTACTCGTATCTTAAGATTATGTAAAGTGATCTGAAAGGAAGCCATTCAGTGCCAAAAATGCAATAATATTCAGGGTTCTATTTAAAAGAAATCATCATGTTCTATTTAAAAGAAATCATCCCGATCCACTCACCCTTTTTTGAGCCATCATATAGAAGTTAAAATATTTTCTTGAAATGCATCCTAGTACAAAATTCCCAAGTTCTTTATTCTAGGAGCTGCAGATGCCCGACGCACTTTTGCCGAACCCTGTATGGCTTTATATACAGGTTGGCCCATCGAAAACGTTCCGCAAGGCATAACGGCCAGGGAATTTTTTTTTCAGAAAATTCAAAAACACGTCAATTTTGTTTGTGAGGGGGACAACTTTTGCCCCAAAAATGATTGCAAAATCTTCAACCCTCTAAGCGGGGGTGTCATCCCCAATTTTTTTCAAATGGGAAGGGGGTCAAGTGGTACCGCAATGAAAAGAGCTTTCTATTCTCTATACTTTCCGGCTTCGTTTTTGAAAATCGGTCGAGTCATTGAGAAAATATAAAGGATTGAAATTTGAAAAGTTTATTTAAACATTTATCAGAGTAAATGATAAGGATAAATTCCTTCGACCAATTTGCTGTTTTTTCTTATTATTTCTAGATGTTTACGCATTTTTTCACTTGCCACAAGGTTGGACGATCAGGTGCGGTAGTTGCTTGATAGCTGTTCTGTGACTTATGCGTTGAAGTTCTGAGAATAGAAAGCTTTTTTCATTGCGGCGCCACTTGACCCCCCTGCCCATTTGAAAAAAGTTGGGGAATGACATCCCCGCTTAGAGCGTTAAAGATTTTGCAAACATTTTTGGAGCAAAAGTTGTCCCCCTCACAAATAAAATTGACGTGTTTTTGGATTTTTTGAAAAAAAGAATACCCTAGCCGTTATGCCTTGCGGAACGTTTTCGATGGGCCACCCTGTATTTGTAACCTAAGATTTCTCTGTTTACATCTAGAGATCTGGATGTATATCTTGGGTACCGTGTACCGTTGTCTTGTACGGTAATGTTTGTCAGTTTGTATTATTTGTCTGATGTTTTGAAAATGTAAGCAAACAAATAACAAAAATTAACCCCTCAAAAAACTCACCGTTCGGCACTTATTTAATTTTAACCAATATTAACCTATAGTGTTATACTTACTGTTTTCTGTAGTTAGTAACGACATTTGCATATTTCGCTGTATTGATAAAAGGTTCATTTAGTAGTCTCTGCTCTATAAGAGTGGAGGATAGGCATTCATTAGAACGAGCCAAATAATTGTACTGAGCAAATTCAGAGTTTATGTATGCTCTGTTAGGAATATATCTATCCACCGTATATTTATTGCGATAAGTCTGTAAAGAATATAATATTATTAAAATTTAAGTAAATAAATATTGCTATAATAATAAAAATGTTTTCGCTCTTCATAAAAAACGCATGCATTTTAAACCAATGATATAGCATCTTTCTTTTATAACCAAATGTATAGCAGGCTTCATTCAGTACAGGGTGAATAATAATGCAATACGCCACTTTTTATTTTATTTTTAGATTCTGCGTAAAATTCCATAACTTTTTTATATATATAATGTTATATACCTAAAATTATTAGTTTTTGTAATATTTCAATTTGTTTCAACAAATGTTAAATTTCAGTGTGATAAAAAAGATTGTCAGGAATGCCATTTTTTCTAAAGTTGGACAACTAAAATTTGGTAGGAGAATTTTATAGAGTTACTAGCGTGTACCCACGACTTCGTTCGCGTCGAATTAATCATTTGTAATGGTGATGATAAAGCAACGCAAGAATTTCCATTAACATACAAACTGGATAACATTTTCTCACGTTTATGTCAGCATGAGAAAAAACAATATGGCAATATTATTATATTTTGGCAGTTAATCAATTACCCAACTTTTTGGAACACCCTGTATGATTTTTTAAAAAATTTCAAAATATGTAAAAAACAAAATAAATTATGCGTGTCCAAGCGTTTTCCCGAAAGACTAACCGTCTTTTAAATAACAAATATTGTCATATTTGAGGGGCGTTTTCACCCTCTTGGAATTTGAGATTCGAGAAACCCGTCGTTATCGAACCTCTACACCCCACAATCAATCCGTTTGCCAAAAATCAGCTTTAAACGTCAAGCAGTTTAAACAGAATCGTGATTACTCAATGGTCATATTTTATGAGACACCCTGTATAAATTTTTAAAAAATCTTAAAATATGTAAAACAACAAAATAAAATATAGTTGTTTAAGAGTTTTTCCGAAAAACTCTCCGGTTTTTAAATAAAAAATATTTTAATATTTGAGGGGTGGTTTCACCCCCTTAGAATTCGAGTTTCGAAAAATCCCTTCTTATCGAACCTCTACACCCTAAAGTCAATCTGTTTTCCAAAAATCAGCTTTTTACGTCAAGCGCTTTAGAATTAGAATTAGAATAAGTGGGTTGGGGGTTAATCTCTGCGACCTTAGAGATCTATTGTGTCCCTCTTTCTTGAGTTATAACTCATCATACAGTCCCAGGACTTCCTACGGAGACCCGTGTCCCTCACAGTCGAGGAGCTACGACCCAGGCCGGTAGACGAAACGGTAGCTTGTGTCGCCTGTTGGGTTTAGAGGTAGGAGGTAGGCTCCCCGACCCTTTTGAGAGGTGGTAGCTTAGTATGCCACTTGCGGAGGATGTCAGTGTCACGCAAGTGTCAGCCACCTCTCCTGTAGTTGTCTTTGGGTTTCTGGCCCCTTGAAACTTTCTTTCTATTGTTACTGTTCCCAGTGTCGCTAGGGGGTTTCCCCCACAGCTTCACCGGTGTGATGTTTTTATTACTATTATTACCAGATCTCATAGTGTTCCTATGAGTCGCTAGGGGACAGTCGGTCCACTTCTACAGAGCCCCGCATGTAGAAGTAAGGGGTAAAATACAATGGGGTGCTCCCCGGTGCCCCAAGGTTGAGGCTGTCCGTAGCCCCGCCCGGTATCGTTATATGTCTTGGTGCAATTCCCTGGCCACGACACTACAGTCAGGGACAAGACGATGAGTGAGATGCTTCTTAGACCAAGCCAAGTGCTAGAGGGGATTCCTCCCAGCACCTGACCAGGAGCTCAAGCGCTTTAAGCAGGATCGTGATTAATCAATGACCAGATTTTTCGAAACACCCTGTATACATTTTTAAAAAATCTTAAAATATGTAAAAAAACAAAATAAAATATACGTGTTTAAGCGTTTTTTCGAAAACTTGACCGTTTTTTAAATAAAAATATTGTTATATTTGGGGGGGGTTCACCCTCTTGGAACTGGAATTTCGAAAAATCCCTCCTTATCGAACCTCTACACCCTAGAATCAACCTGTATGCCAAAATTGAGCTTCTTACGTTGAGTGGTTTGAGCAGGATCGTGATTATATTAGTATAAATATGTAAAGATATTTTAGTTAGATGCTATAGGGTGTTCAAAATATATTTATTAATTTCAACTACTTAAAAATTAAAAAATCGCATTTTTTTTTAAATGGACACCCTATATATTATCATTTTTTCTGATAGATTTTACAAAATTCTTCAACTTTTATCATAGTATATAAAGTAGTACTTATTAATATACCTATTTTTAATAATTTGCAACTTATTCTGAATTTGTCAATTTTTATTCTTTTTTTAATTCATATGGTAGGTATACATTGGTGCGCTAACGAGCGGCACACGCGCACCGATTCGCCTCTGTTGGTACGTGTTTTCACGTTGCGCGCGCAAACAGCTAACATAGAGAATGGTAATAAAAAGAGAGTGGCAGATTAAATTAGGACGAATGGCATCGCATTTTGTTTTCGTGTCGCGCAACTCAGATCTCCTAAATTTGTCCAAATTAAGCTACGACTGACGATTTTGCTTCCATCTTCCTCTAACGCAACTGCAGAAGCCGTGATCGGTGTGGACGTTGTGTGTTGTCTCTATCATAACTTTATTGGAAATTGGCGCGTGGACAGAAAAATTGTTTGAGTTTCTAGGATTTTATTTGGTATTTGTTATAACAACGAATATTATAATCAGTTATAATTATTGTATATTGTTGTAATTAAAATTTTATTATTACTACGCATAGAATTAACCGAAATAGGCAGAGGATTAACCGAAAAGAAAGGTAAATTAAATGTGAGGTTAAGTTATTAATATTACAATTTAATTAAAACAATATTTAAAATTAATTAACAACACAATAACTGATCAATAAATAAACTTCAGTAAATATTTAGTATTAAAAACTTTGATAGCCTCGGAGAAATGAAGCCTTAAAATTTATACTGGTTTTCAAAATTGCAATATCAAAAACGGTAAGGTTTAAGTGTAATAAACCTTAATCAAATTTACCTTTATTTAATCGTAGAAACTAAAATGCAATAATATACTGGGTGTTCCATTTATTGGAAGAAAACTTTGATATTTTTTATTTATTTGGGATACTCTGTATCTTGTAAAAATAATTTTAAATTGTAGCTCTAATAGTTTTTCAACGAACCCAAAACTTACAATTTGTAAAAATCTAATCGTTTAGCTACCATGTCGTATGTGGTGAACAACCCTGTAGAGTTATACAGGGTTGTTGTCCACATACGACACGGAGTATTGTAGCTAAACGATTAGATTTTTACAAATTGTAAGTTTTGGGTTCGATGAAGGACTATTAGAGGTACAATTTAAAAATAATCTTACAAGATACAGAGTGTCCCAAATAAGTAAAAAAAATATCAAAGTTGTATTTTTTAAATGGAACACCCTGTATATTATTACATTTTTTAGTTTCTACGATTAAAATAAAAGGTAAATTTGATTAAGGCTTATTATACTTAAACCTACTGTTTTTGAAATATTTTCACTTTTGTGAAATTGCAGTAAAAATTTTAAGGCTTCATTTCTCCAAGGGTATCAAAGTTTTTAATACTAAATATTTACTGAAGTTTATTTACTGATCAGTTATTGTGTTGCAATAATAAAAAATAATACTACCTTATACAGAGTGTCTAAAAAATTTATTTTAAATAATTATTAGCTTCAAACGGCAATAACTTGTTTAATTTAAATAGAACACCCTGTATATTTTACGAGAATCAGATGCACAATTTAATTGTCTATCAAAAATATATTATACCATTTTTTTTTTACCTATCTCTTTAAGTTTCAGTAGAAATGCATTTTCTTGTAATTTAGAACTTATTTATCAATATACCCATGGACTATTGACATTTTAGATTATTTTTAAAAGATGTACCAAATTTTTAAAGAGTACAGATACTTCAATATTGTCGATATAATTCCTTTATTTCATTAAAAATAAAAAAACTGTTTAAATATTTGTTAAAGAGGATCAATTAATATGATTCCAGTATTCAAACTACATTAACTGACTGTTTGCGTTGATTAATAATAATTGCTCCAAATACTAAAAAACTGAATTTTAGTATATGGGCGGAAATAATGGTGTTATATTTAATTAATGGTATACTCTTTTATAAAGATTTAAATAGTTTTCTTTTTGCATACAAATGGGCTAGTAATATTATCGTTTTGCTAAAAACGATAATATTACTAGTCTGTACATTTTGTATATTTGTTGCTTTAAAAACAATCTAAAATCTCAATATTCCATGGATATATTGATAAATGAGGTCTAAATTACAAGAAAATGCATTTTCTACGAAAACTTGAAGGGATAGGTAAAAAATGGTATAGTACAATTTGATAGACAATTTAATTGTGCATCTCATTCTCCTAAAATATACAGGGCATTCCATTTAAATTAAAGAAGTCATTGCCGTTTGAAGCTAATAATTATTTAAAATAAATTTTTAGACACTCTGTATAAGGTAGTATTATTTTTATTATTGCAACACAGTAACTGATCAATAAATAAACTTCATTAAATATTTAGTATTAAAAACATTGATACCCTTGGAGAAATGAAGCTTTAAAATTTTTACTGCAATTTCACAAAATTGAAAATATTTCAAAAACGGTAAGCTTTAAGTATAATAAACCTTAATCAAATTTACCTGTATTTTAATTGTAGAAACTAAAAATGTAATAATATACAGGGTGTTTCATTTAAAAAAATACAACTTTGATATTTTTTATTTATTTGGGACAGTCTGTATCTTGTAAAAATATTTTTAAATTGTAGCTCTAATAGTCCTTCAACGAACCCCAAACTTACAATTTTTAAAAATCTCATCGTTTAGCTACAATACTCCGTGTCGTATGTGGTGAACAACCCTGTATATATTTTTATAAAATGCTTTCAAATAACCTACATATGCTTCCAAAATTTCATTTCGATATAAACTACCGTTCTCCTTAGAGACTCCGCGTCGTATGAAAGGCTGTACAATAATCACCCTGTACAATAAAATATAGTCAGATTGTAAAAAAGCTTTGAGATTTAGAATTTCTAATGCTTAAACATTTAAATAATATAATGAATAATTAACTAAACTTTATTTTCCGATGTTTCTAGGCGGAAATATAAGCAGAAACTTTGGCAGAAACCTATACAAATAGAGAGAAAATTACAAAAAATGTTCTCTCCGCAATACACATCAATACATATCACTTCTGCCACTTCCTATTGTATCACAAAGTTTCGAACATTAAGTGTATATAAATAGAAGTATACATTAGTTATGAATAATTGTTATATTTTTAATATTCTAAAATTCTTTGTTACACCAAGTATATTTTTGAAATTACGTGAAAACTTGAGAGATTCTTGCATATTGTGAGAATAAATACGATTAAGGCACTAACATATTTTTACTCACACTCATAATAACAACCGACAATTTCTGTTCAGCACCAAGATAGATACTAAGCAAATTCACATACTGCATTAAATATTTATGGCATTTTATAAAAAAAATATAAAAAACTTGACATAGGTTTTATTTGCTAATTTATACAGGGTCGGTATAGAGTATAACAACTTGTACCAATGCATTGCAATATGTTGGTATACAGGGTGGCGCACCTCATTCGCCTCGGTTGATTATTCGAAAACGAAAAGATGCAGAAACAAAATATTTTATGGGTATATATGGGAAGGTAAGGTGCATAATTTAAAATTATTTTCAAATGTACAGGCTTGTACAGGGTATGACAGAACTAAGATCCACTCCAAAGTTATATTTTTTCTTATGGATCACCCTGTATTTTATTTCATTTTTGAATCCTTGGACACAAATAAGACTTTTATTATAAGGGTTAAATATGTTTACGAGCTTTGGTTTTTGATATATTTAAAGATCTTTTTAGTATGCATGCTATATTAAAAAAGATTGGCAACACCCTGTACATTGCATGTCAGAGTTAATTATTGGGATAACTTTTAATTCAAAGGAATAAACTTTACTGAAAAGATTGATTCGTTTAATCTGTACAGGAGTTTAATGCTGGTCTATTTTAAATATTTATTTTACATAAAAACTTTGTTATTTCAAATACAACACACCCTGTATTTTTTTAAATAAATCGAAGCAGATTCAAATGCTCTCATTCAATTCTCAAACTATATTAAGGTTTCTGGGCGATAGTTAGAAGCTTCATCTTTGTCTCCTCCTTTATGCAGAGGAATGATTATTGCCGTCTTAAAACATTTTGGAAAAATACCATTTTGGAACGACATGTTTATTAATATTGTTTTTTGGTGATTCAGAGTGCTTTCTGGAAGATTCAAAAACATTTTTAAAGTTAGCCCGTCGGTCCCAGAAGAGGATTTATTATCGATGGTATTAATTGTACTGCAAAGCTCTTCTAAAACTACGGGCGAAAAAAAGAAACTGTGTAAGTTTACATTATCATTAAAGAGATATGAAAGTGGATCATGAGAAGGACATATGGTATTAGTTAAGTTTTTCGCTACATTTACAAAGTAATCGTTAAGGTTCTCAGGTGAGGTAGAGATATTGCTACACGAAGAAAAAAAAGCTTTGTTTCTCAATTTATTCACAATAGACCATGTTTCTTTAGCAACATTACCAGAATTGACTATTCTCCTATTATAATAAAAGTCCTTAGCGGCTCTTATAGTCTTATGATAAATGTTTCTGTATAGTTTTACGTAATTGTGGAAGAAGACACTGTCTGAGAATTTTTTTAAGTGAGATAATGAACGCATGTTTTTAGAAGATATGCGTAGACCTTTCTTTTTAGAACTACTTCTTCGTTTTTCTTATGTGGTCAGCATATGCTCCATAGATAATTTTTGTCATTACTTTTTAGAATCAAAGGTATCAATTTTCTCTGCCACTTTTAATTATAACACATAATCGTAAAAGATTTCAACTATAGAGGGCTCAATATTTTAAAAATTAAGTCCAGTAATATTTTATACACATTTTTATTAATACGTTTTATCTTACCAAGTATCAATATAAAAAAAATAATTAGATATACACATTTTACTTACCACTATTAAAATACATTTCTACTATCTGATTAACTTCTCTTAGAACAAAATCAACAGTTAAAAGTTTTAAACCAATATTCACTTAACCTATAAAAAAATATTGTAAAAAATAAAATAATTTTTGAAAAGAAGAATAATTTTAAACAGATTTCCTTAACTAACTTTTAACTATTAACTATTAATTTAATAGGTATATAATATATACTAATTCGTACTAATTCTATTTAAATTTAAATCGTTGTGATGATGTCAGTGGTAGAAAAAACTATACTAATCTCTTATTCTCTAAAGAGTCTTAAAAATATTTAACAAATAATTCTTTAGTATTTAAAAATCAAATAAAGTCAGCCCAATGAGTGAGAGGAGATTTTGACAGACAACATCCAAAAAATTACAGTAAAAACAATTTAACTGTCAATTAAAATGACAGAACAACTTTTCCTCTTATATATTCTCACTTTGGACAGACTTTACTTTATATTACATTTTAATTACAGTATCAACTTTAAGTTAAAATTTTAATAATAATAGATAGAATAGAATAGTAACTTAATTTTAATATAGGATAGAATAGTAACTTAATTTTAATATAAAATTTCTTTATCACCTAATAATGATTTGTTAACTACAAACACTAAATACGTGTAGTTAGAAATACTTCCTTACATTATTCTATTTTGTATTCTCAAAACAATATTTTTTGTGTAATTATTAGACAAAAAAATCAGTCAAAATCAAAAGGTACATAATATTATATGCCATACATACATAGTATACAGGGTGGTCCGAACTGTATTCCGGAAACTTCGGCAGCATATTCTGCAGATAAAAATAAGTAAAAAAGTTCATATAAATGTATGTCCTAAAATGTTTATAGTTTCGGAGATACAGGGTGTAGAAGTTTCATTTTTATTTCGATTTTTTTCCAAATAATTTAAGATTTAACGTCAGCATTTGAATGAAAATTGCTATCTGGGAATTTTTTGACATGAAAAATTATATTTTAATGTCAATATGACTCCTACTTGTAGAGGACGCCACCTACATATGTGCTCGTAGCGATTTTTACCAAGAAACATTTTTTTAAGGTAAAAAGTCACGGAAATTTTTTCACTCAGTAGTTTTATACAGGTACGGAGGAAAAGTTATTACTCTCCGAAACAGTCAAGAAACTCCCAGACACCAATTTTCATCCAAGTTACCTCAGAAATTATTTGAAAAAATCTAAATAAAAACACCAACTACACCCTGTATCTTCGAAACTAAGCATTTTAGGACATACATTTATACGATTTATTTTTACTTATTTTTATCTGCAGAATATGCTACTGAAGTTTCCGGAATACAGTTCGGACCACCCTGTATAATATTCTATATTAATAATTTTATATTATGTTTTTATGTTTTAAAAGTAAAGTACTACATTTGGTTCAAATATACTTTTAGTTATACACGTTCAGTAGAAAAAAATATTTTTGTTATTGTGAAATAAATGTGGTTATAATATTTAACATAATAACTTGATCGAAGGTTTATATTTATGTATATTCAAGATATATTTACAATCTTTTATAATAAGTTAAATAATGAACTGCAAAGAAAATTTGCCTATTCATTTTAACAAAGTTAAGATTTTTCAAAATCTTTCAGTACCCTGCCATTTAACAGTTTTAAAATTCCTGTAGATTTTTCACTACATTTCAAAAATTAAAACTTATTAAATTTAAAACTAAGCCAAGTTTGGGCAAGCAGCACATGTTTCAGTTAATCTACTTCTAATTTTCTGAAACTACCGATTATATTTTCTGGATTGCTCTTAGACGAATTCTTTGATCGAATGATGCCTCTGTCGCTCAGAAGATTCATGTCGTCCATGGCCATGAGTCTTTTCTTTTTTGAGTCTACTTCTTGTTTCCACCAGCATATCATATCTTTGGACGAAATGTCGCCTCCAAATTCTGCCGGTAATGATCTTTGGTTGATTTTTTGTACTAAATCCAGTTTGGAGTCGTGGTTCTGAAACAAAAATTGCCGTCAGTGTTAAATGTCAACGAGAGAAAATATATCATCTCATTAGAAAGGTAGCACAAAAATCTACATATGTATATAAAATGCTAATGTTTATCTGTGTCGTCTCTACTGAAGTAACGACTTGCTCTAGAAAGTTGCGTTTTTACTAAAAGATAGCTAATTGGCTCTTCTGAAAACTGTCGTCGACGGATTTTTTGTTTTTCATTTAATTAAAAAAATAAAATAAAAAGTATGTTTTTCCTGGTGTCGTGGCGGATGCGCCAGGCTTCAACTAGGATAATATAAATTCCCCGACACAAAAGTCCACCGCCCTAAAATTTTTACTAAGTTTGATGTTTAATAACTTTTTAATTTGTGATCCGATTTTTATGATTATAGTATTAGTTTGTAGATAAATTTGTTGGCATTATTTTTTGTTATTTTAATAGATTATATATTGCGGTTAGGTGGGTTTGTACCAGGATAAATCGAAACTTCGTTTTTTGCAATAAATTCATAACAACCTGTGAAAAAAGTAGGACAGGAATTTTGGATAAAAAACACTTTCCTGTAATCTTAGATGTATGCATTTCCTTTTTTTAATAATTATCCTATTATCTATATTCTTTTATGAGCTACACATTTTTAAATAGAGTACTAATTTCTACAATCTTGATTTTTTTTGAAAATGGAGCTGTCAATGCCCCCGTTATATTGAGAATGTCTACCAAGAAGTTGCAGTTCCATTTGCTCCTTTTATTGGAAATCAGTTTATATTGATGCATGATAATGCCAACTCCCACACTGCGCGAGGTAACGAGTTAGGAGTACGATTAGTTAACAAGAACTTAGATGCAGCTGGACTACGAAGATTGGAATGGCGTCCTTGTAGTCTCGACCTCAATCCAATCGAACATTGATGAGATGAACTTAAAAGAGCTGTTCGTCGTCGTCCAATTCCACCACAAACTTTACATGAGCTTTGAGATTCCTCTGTTAATGCTAGCCTTAGCTCTATGTGCCGTGTCATAGCAGTATCCAAGACAACAAAAAATCCGGAAACTAGGATGATATTGATCATCGGAAGCCTGGTTTAGTCCAGAGACAGTACTGGAAATGCCCAAATGTACGGCTCGCAGTGCTGGAAAACTCTAGAACAAATAGAAGCAGATCGTCTACTAGAGAAACAGACTGGGTCACAGGCCTTCATCTAACTCTAAAACCACCGAGGGACTGCTAATGCTTAACAAAAATGAAGTGCGGATTACAACAAGTCTCTGGACAGAACATATTACATGGCTGTCAAGTGCGGAAGTGCCATATTATTGAACTCAACCTGATCCAAGCAAGTCTTTGCTGCAGACTCTGCGATAAAAACCCTGAAACAGCGGAACATATAATATATCACCGCGAGGCTCTGGATCGCAAGTCACACTTTCTATTTGGGAAAGCAAGGCTTGAACTAGAGAAACTATACTGCCATCCTATCAAGGACCTGATCAAATTGGCGCAGGTCACTGGGATAGAGGCCTATGTGCAGACATAGAAAGGAGACAAGCCTGGAGTGCCCGTCCTGTCCAGGAGTTCCTGAAGACGCGGAGCACGTGTTCTTTGTGTGCCCACGTTTCAACTTAATGCGTAATCATCTGGAGATTGTTCTTGAACTGGCAATTCAACCAGAGACAATAATTGATGCAATGCTTTCTTCGAAGGCATCCTGGAACGCGTTCAATATTTTCGCAACGAAAGCACTCCTCCAACACCTGCGTTCTATAGAGAGGAAACGGACCAGCAACAAGAACAGTTAGAGAGAGAGAAGAGAAGAGAAGCATTGACTTCAATTAATGGAAGGAAGAGCAATAGCTAGATCCTCCCCCTGCAAAGTAATGCCTAACGGCCGGTTTCCGACATAATAGAAGTATTTCCGACATAATGACGCAGTAACGCCAACTTAGGGTTTGTTCCTCTAAATTTAGGAGGGAAAATATGTACAGGGTTTTGTAGGGGTTAAAATTGATGAAAGTGATAAATACTGGGCTTGCAGCTGAGTGATTTTGGACAATGTTGGTTTTGGTTTGGTAACCCTGTAAATGGTTTTGAAATTGCTTTAGGGGGAAAGTTTTCAAACAGTTGGCAACACTGATATGACGGCCACCTTTGACGGCCCCTTAAAATCTGGAAAAAAACTTTTCGAACTTTGAAATACTTTATTTAAAATTTATGTTTTAACTTAACCAATTTTCAGCCAAAAAAATGAAAAACAATCGCCTTTTTTAACCTAAAGCAGCTGTTTCTCGAGGTAGAAGCAAAAATAACTGACAGTAGTCCGTTTGTTAGTCAATATTGATGTAGTCATATATCTAGTTAAATTTATTGTTTCTATTAATAGTTTTTAAAGAGATGGCATTATAAAATATAGGTTTGTCTATTCTGAAACATTATTAAAAAAAATTCTGCCTATTTATAAAATTATTTATATACAGGGTGGTCCGAACTGTATTCCAGAAACTTCGACAGCATATTCTGCAGATAAAAATAAGTAAAAAAGTTCCTATAAATGTATGTCCTGAAATGCTTAGTTTCGGAGATACAGGGAGTAGAAGTTTCATTTTTATTTCGATTTTTTCCAAATAATTTCAGAACTAACGTCAATTTTTAGATTAAAATTGGTGACTGGGAGTTTTTTGACATGAGAAATTTGATTTTGATGTCAATAAGACTCATATTTGTAGGTAGCGCCACCTACATGTGTTTTAACTGTTTTGAAGAGTAATAACTTTTCACCCGTACCACCTGTATAAAGCTACTGGGTGAAAAAATATACATTTCCGTGATTTTTTACGTAAAAAGCGTCTCTTGGTAAAAATCGCTATGAGCAACCGTTCTCAATTTATTTAGAATGGAAATAGTCAATACATGTCATTATTGACAACAAATAAATACGTTAAGTAGATAGTTAGTTGACTGAAATAATAAATTTGAGAAATTCTTATTATTTTAAATTAATCATAAATTTTTCTGTGAAAAAATGATGATAAAACAGTTTCTGCAGAACTTTTGGCACAAAAACATTTCAAATTTATGATTTCAGTCTAATAACTATTTAGTCGACATATCCAAATTATTTCAATGATGACAGGTATTGATAATTTCGATTTCAAATATGTCGAGAACCATTACTCGTAGCGATTTTTACCAAAAAACCTTTTTTACGTAGAAAAAGTTGTAAATGTATTTTTTTTACTGACAGGTTTTATACAGGTACGGACGAAAAGTTATTACTCTTCAAAACAGTTAAAAAATATGTAGGTGGCGCCCTCTACAAGTAGGAGTCATATTGATATCAAAATCAAATTTCTCATGTCAAAAAAAACCCAGACACCAATTTTTATCCAAATATAGACGTTATCTCATAAATTATTTCGAAATAAAAATGAAATTTCTACACCCTGTATCTCCGAAACGAAGCATTTCAAGACATACATTTATACGAACTTTTTTTACTTATTTTTACCTGCAGAATATGCTGCCAAACTTTCCGGAATACAGTTCGGACCACCCTGTATATTGCCTGTATACTGCCTATTAGACCGAGAGCTGGCTACATAAAAAACCTTATCATCGTTACATGGCTAATTTTTTGTGTGAAGTATCCTTTTGTGTAACCATTGTGAAATAGTCATGTCTGCCAGTGCGATCCCGGGGCTTAAAGCGGGGGCGGCCAATCGAAAGGGTGAACTTTTGACACTAAAAATATTATAAGGTACACGAGTTATAATTGCCAAATAACTTTTATTTATTATTAAGAAACGTGTAAAATTGTTGACAGACATTTTTCTCGTGGCTGAAATTCCCGCAGACAAGGCGAAAGAGGCATAGAATTTTAACAAAAGAAAATAAATTAATAATATATTGTTAATAATAGTATAATATATTGTCAATATAATTTATTGTTAATTAATTTAAAATACTCAGACTAATTAATTTAAAATACTCAGACATCTAAAAATAAATATTACATTTCACCAATCGGCATGCAAATATGCCATAATTTTTTTCATTCTTCAAGTTTCATTTTTTAATAATTTTTAAAATTTCATGCCTCTTTCGCGTTACCTGTCGGCATTTTAGTCGGCATTTTAGCGACTAGAAAAATGTCAACAATTTTCCACGTTTCTTAATAATAAATAAAAGCTATTTTCTCAATTATAACTCATGTATCTTATAATATTTTTAGTGTCAAAATTTCACCCTTTCGATTGGCCGTCCACGCTTTAAGCCCTGGATCGCGCTGGCAGACAGGACTATTTCATAATGGCTACACAAAGGATACTTCACACACAAAAATCAGCCATGTAACGATGATAAGGTTTTTATGTAGCCAGCTCTTAGACTATATGGTTTCTGATCAAATTAAAAAAATATATATTATGAAAAAGTGTTTAACTAATATATTAATTAAATTCAGTAATTACAGGGAATAATTATATAGGAATGATGTCACCTCGATAAATACGAGCATAACGCAATAATTTTTTGCAACAAAATATTACTTCTTATTAAAAATTATTCATTTATTGAAATATTTAGCAAAATATAAATGATCACTTGATAAAAATTTGACTGACAAACAGAAAAGGACTAGCATACAAATGTATCGATTAGGATAACCACTATAGATTAAAATGGTCAGATTATCTTCTGTAATAATTTACATTCTGTTCAATTTTCATGACTTACCATAATTCTTTCTTTGATCTTCTGGCTCATGTTGTTTTTTGCGAAATCGTAGACGTATTTTAATGCTTGCGGCATGTTGATGAAATGGATTTCTTTGTGTCTCATTGGGAACGATTGCTGAAACAAAGCTACGATTAATAAAGGTAATGAAAACATCTGTAAATAAATATGACTCTGGATTAATCAAGTGGTCGATGTAATTTTTGAAATATTCAAAGTTTATCACTTTTAAGAAGACTTAGTTATACACATTTGAAAATTCACTCGGTCTAGATTAGATTAGATTCTTTGAGGTTATTTTTAGATCTTGTGGTCCTCTTCTGATCCTTAGGTTAGATTCTCCGTTCCTATCCTTCTCAAAAAGTCTAGTAACTTAGAGCCTAAACCCTCCATATAGCTTCTCTGTCAATGGCCTATCATTGCCTATTACAGAGAAGCGCGACACAGTGTGTTCTCCCGTTTCTTCTTCAGATTGACAGAACCTGCACTTGGCGTTGTCCGTCAACCCCCTTAGCATAATAACAATTAGTAAGCTGTGAATGCCCCCAGCTTACAATGCCCTGTCGGTAGACTCGGTATACATGAAACAGTGGCGCATCTAGAGATTGAATCTGGGAGGTATAGTGACTATATTTAAGTAAAGTACTAGATTTAAATTAAATTAACGCTGATCTTTTTTTTTTATAGATGGGAAACGCCTTTAGGGCCAGAGTGTGGGGATCTCCCTCATGCGAGAGGGTCTCCCACTAACAGCCCATCTGTGCTCTAAGCTCGCCAATCTCCGTACCGTCAAAGGCATTTCATCACTATTAGAGGCTTATCATTCTTCTATGTTGGTCTTGTCTGTACCCAAATCTTGTCTGTTTTGTCCTTCGCCTTTTTCTTCTTCAAACATGCCGCAAATCGCTTCGATATTTTCGTTCCATGATGTTAGAAAGTTTCCGATATTTACTCTAGTAATCTTCGTACCACATACTGTTCCTACGTTTTCCCGTATATCTTCGTGCGCGTGACACTCAAATAGTGTATGGTTAGCCGAGTCTGACTCCTCGCAATACCAGCATGTAGGAGAGTCAGCCTTGCGTATCCTGTGCAGATACTCGCCACATACTCCATGGCCAGTCATGGCTTGCGTGATGTAGTAGTCCGTGTTTGCTTGGTCGCATTTTATCAATCTTTAACATTAGGTATGAAAGTCTTTGTTCATCCGCTATATGCTTCCCATCGTGTCTGCCATTGCTCTAGTACAATGTTTCTAGCCTCTTTCCGGAAGGAAGTTCCATTTTATATATTTGGTTTCTTTCCTGGATCAGTAGACTGATCGGAGGTATCTTAGAAAGACACAGTACCGCTACTAACTTTTGGACATGTGCAGTATGCCGATGCAACCCCGAGTGCTAACTTCTTATTTACCTTTTCTAGCATGTTTCCGTAATGCTTGAAGCGCATGGATCTGTCCCAGATCGACGGTGCGTAGAGTATGGTCGAATGAACTACCGAAGACGTCTTATTTTTTCCGCGTTAGGTCCTCGGATATTGGGAGTTATTCTCATCAGATGCTGGATGATGCCAGTAAATTAACGCTGATTAGGTATTAGGTATTTTGACTCTGGTAGAAAATAACCTTGGATTGTACTGTATTTTACTGTATTTTCTATCTTGATTGGTATGTTTAATTTATTTTTTGACAATTTTATTTTACAGTATTTTATCTTATTTTTATTTCTGGAATTAAAAAATCTGCAAAAAAGCATTACAGTGGGTATTTTAGAAATAGACATTTAAAAAAAATGTGTGTGTGCACTATGTGCGCATATTTGAAATATTCTTCTTCTTCTTACTATCGTACTAATACAATAACTAACTAGATTACTATCGTAACTACTATTCGTACGTTAGGACCAAATCCTGTGTTTTCTTCATTGGTTGAAGAAGAACAGTTGGGATAATAAAGACCAGCTTTCATACCATCTTATAGGTGGTCGACCCGGTGCGGCGGTCGAGGCGTAATAGATCTTTTCTCATTAGCAATTTTTGCTAACCAGTCGTTTGGCATCCTGTCCACATCTCTTCTCCTATTTTTGCCCATCTTACCACATCCTGTACTTCACATGTTTCCCTTATATCCTCACTTCTTTTCCGGTCATATAAGGTATATTAATCCTGTAATTGATCTTAGTGTTCTTATTTCTGTTTTTCTTAGGAGCCTTACTTCACATGTTTCCCTTATATTTTTCCCTGTGGTTTATCTTAGTGTTCGCATTTCTGTTATTTTTAGGAGCCGTTTTGTTGTTGTGTTCTCTGCTCTAGTCTCTATCGCATATGTCATAACTAGTCTCACGTAAGCTTTATAAATTCTAACTTTGCTTCTGACGCTCATATATTTATTTCGCCAAATTATATCCCTTAAATATCCTGATATTAGTGATGCCTTTGTTGTTTGGGTTTTTACTTCCTCTTTGAGATTCCTAGTGCTTGTTATATTTGCTCCTAGATATTTAAATGACATTACTTGTTCAACACTCTGATCATAGATTGCGAGTTTGAATCTTCTAGGCTCTCTAGATATTGTAAGAGATTTTTTTTTTCACGGATATTTGCATGTTAAATAGTGTTGTCCTCTGTGGGAACTTATATAGAAGCTTTTGTAAGTTATCTTCGTCTTCAGATATGAATACTGCATCGTCAGCATAACATATTATTTTTATTTCTTTATCTCCCAGTCGATATCCTCTCCCAGCTTGATTTACTTCATTTATGATTTCGTCCATTACGATGTTGAACAGGGTAGTTAAGAAAAGGGTAGTTGGGCTTAAGCTATCTCCTTGCCTGATTTCGGTTGTCACAGCTATTTTTCTGCTTAGCTTATTGGCCGCTCTTACATATGTACAGTTCTCGGTATTCAACTCTTCGATAACTTTTATAATATTCGACTGAACTCTCCTGTTTTGCAGTAAGTTTATGACATCAGTTAATTGGACTCTATCGAATGCCTGGGTAAGATCAACGAAGCACATAAAAGCTGTCTTATTAAACTCTATGGCGTTTTCGGTTATTTGGCGAATGATAAATATGGCGTCTATTGCAGACCTGTTATTTCTAAATCCTTGTTGTTCTTCACAAATTCCGGTAAACATTACTTCTTCTGCTAAAATTTTAGTAAACAGTTTTTGTACGGCACTCATCAAACTGATACCCCGATAGTTTCGTGGATCTGCTTTTTCTCCTTTTTGAAAATTAGTATATCTGAAGTAAAACTTCTTACTAACAGCTATTAAATTGAAGGATCTGAAGGATATATTTGAAAAAGTGCAGTTTAAAATGTTGAAAAAGTAATCAATTAATAATTAATAAATAATTTAATTAACTTTCACAAAATTTGTATTAAAATCTGTCTGTCCGTCTGAGGACTCCATTCGGGTACCTTAATTTTCACTTTCCGTGTTTGGTTCCAGTCGACTTATAATGTAAAAAAAATCCCGATGATTTAGTCCATTTAGAGGTATCGGTTCGAAACGTCGAGGGAATCATCCTGTGGCCCGTCATTATGCCGAAATTGGACACATTTCTTCAATATCAAACCCTTAGTCCCATCCTGATGAAGATGTAAACAAAAAGTCGTACGCAACTTTGCAGGGTCGGGCCGTGTGCACCGTCGCTCACATAGCCTACCCACCAAAACTGACGTTTCTCACGTCAAAAATAACTGTCACAGTAAAACGTGTCGTACCGTAACTACCGTAATAACAAGGCTGGACAGCTGTGACGTAAAAATCTCGTGACGTCACCAACTGGAGGCTCAACTCTATTTATCAGCGTTGATAATTACCTGATAAAAGTTCAAATTGTGGATCTTTTTTCACTCACCAGATATATTTCGCAGTTTTAAAATGACTTTTTCCGAGTTTTTAAAAATATTATAGTATATAAAAATAGTTTTAATGAATACGGAAAAAATCATACCAGTCAATAAATGTTTATCTCTCACTTTTTATCACTCAAATTTAATAAAGGAATATTTTAAGTTCACAATAGTGTATAATATGAGAAAAAACAATAAAAAATAGATATTTTTTATAGTATATATTATGCTATTATTGTATATTATAATAAACATTTTCAGACAACACTTATATTGAACAGAATTCACTTATAAAAAACCTTATTAAAGGTAGTCTTGGGTTTCCAAAAGATGAAATTATTAATATAGTTTTATTTCAAATAAGCAGAAAGTAATCTCGACTGACTAGTGAGAAAGAAAATCTAGGAAATAAAGGGGTTGCAGTCGTGACGTCACCAACTGAAGGCCCAACTCTATTTATCAGCGTTGATAATTACCTGATAAAAGTTCAAATTCTGGATCTTTTTTCACTCACCAGATATATTTCGCAGTTTTAAAATGACTTTTTCCGAGTTTTTAAAAATATTATAGTATATAAAAATAGTTTTAATGAATACGGAAAAAATCATACCAGTCAATAAATATTTATTTCTCACTTTTTATCACTCAAATTTAATAAAGGAATATTTTAAGTTCACAATAGTGTATAATATGAGAAAAAAAACAATAAAAAAATAGATATTTTTATAGTATATATTATGATATTATTGTATATTATAATAAACATTTTCAGACAACACTGATATTGAACAGAATTCGCTTATAAAAAACCTTACTAAAGGTAGTCTTGAGTTTCCAAAAGATGAAGTTACTAATATAGTTTTATTTGAAATAAGCAGAAAGTAGTCTCGACTGACTAGTGAGAAAGAAAATCTAGGAAATAGTGGGCTTGCAGTCGGAAGGGTTTGACAAAGACCCTTCCGACTGCAACCCCACTATTTCCTAGATTTTCGTTTTATTTGAATATATAATTTTTAACAAAGTTTTGCAAAGCCATGAGGAGTTTCTCAAAATTCACAATAAAAAAATATTTTTATCAAAAATATCTTTGGATTACATTAAAAGTAATAACACCATTTTTAAAATTTCCGCAATGTACTATTTATAATGCTAAGTTATTGTAAAAATTGTCATAAATTCTATTAGAAATGCACGTCTGAAAAACTACTGTTGTTAAAAAATAATGATAGACTTGGAAAAGGAAATAAAAGAAACT